TCTGGATCTACAGAAACATAGAGTAGATACTGCTGTTTTCTTCCTGTCTCCAAACAGAAGGTGTGTTCAGCGTGAGCCGGCTGCCTAGATAAGCAAAGCTGAGCCATAATGCAGAAACCAAACGGGATGGGAATCAGAACCTTGTCTTCCCATTAAAAATAGAAAAGGTGTTACGAATGTCGTAAAGCCAGGTTCACGACGGCACCTCAATTACTAAAAAATTGGGACAGTAGTTAAAATGCAAATAAAAAACAGAAAGCAGTGACTTGTGAATCCACTTTGATCTGTATTTAAATGAAAACTGTACAAAGGCAATATATTTCATGTTTTGCCTTATTGACAAATAAGGTTATTTTCCCAAGCATTACTAGGTGGAAGACAATTACCTTCACATCTGTGTCAATATAATGTTAGAAGCTGACAAGAAGACATGGCTAGTAGATACAATACTTTTATCAGTTAATTAATTACAACATATTATTTACTTATACATAAATAAATAAAGGTTCTGTTCAGGTACATTTTTCTTTTATCAAGGTACAAACAATGTAAATGTTCCCTCAAAGGTTCAACAGTGGTTTTAAAGTCCAATTCTAATAAGTTTCTCCAGGTGAAAAGTTTGTATTTGTACCTTTTCATAACCGAATGTTTTAAAACAGAACAGTAAAATAAAAGCCTGGAGACGAAACGGGGTGTGTGGAGTCAGTACAGCTTAGAAAATATCATTTCAGTGGATTATGGTTCAGTTATGTTCCCTGACTAAAGGTACTGAGATGTACCCTTGAGGGAATCACCTGAATACTAATCTCTCTCACCTTTTCTATTTATCATGTGAGTAGATCTAGTCTAGTATATAAGCCTGGGCTTTAGACCAGTTACTTTGTGAGGTACTACTTTTCCTGGTAGAGCTACTGAACGTACCTTTTTGAGACTTGGTTGACTGATCTTGCTTTTGTCATGTTTGTCATCTTCTGTGTTTTGTCTTATTTGGATCTGACCACTGCCTGTCTACCGACTACAGCAACTAGTAAAGCCTCAGTTCTTATTTTTAATGGCGAGCGTCTGGCTGGTTCTATCACGTTACATTACCCTCAAGGGTAAACCTTCAGTGCCTTTAGTTATGGAACACAATTGTACCATATTCTATTGCAATCATTTTTTTAAACTGAACTGACTCCATACACCCGTCTTGACCCCAGGCTAATTTTATTTTTCTATTTTAAATAGTTAAATTGTTCATGAAAGGGTACAAGTATGCACCTTTCCTCTGGGCAAAGTGGATGCAGCGTGGCTTGAATACTCATTTAATGTACCAAATTGGACCTTTGGTCCACTGTCGTACCTTTGAGGCTACATTTACATTGTTTGTGCCTTGATGGACACAAATGGACCTGTACCCTCCTTTCTGACAACGCAGAAGAACTAAGAAAGCTCAAAGTCTTTGAGAGTGGACACCAGTTTCATTAGTAATTCAGTTCTGCTGCCACACATATCTCCACTGCCTGACAAGAAGTGAAGAAAAGCAGGGACTCGGAGCTTCAGTAGCTTGTTCACTCGTCAAAATGAATGAATAAAATGATTCAAGGCCTCTGTTACAATGTCTGTACTTCAAAGAACCGGGCTTAGTGATATGTCACAACAGCTAATTCAGCTGAGGTGGAGGATGAGCAAATTTCCAATTCCCACTGCAGCCTGAAAGACAGAGCATACCTGAGTCTATAGCCTGATGGCTCTGCTGCAGCGTTTGGCCTTCAGCTGTGAAGAGGTCTGGGCTTCCTATAATGGAATATGTTATGGATGCTTTATGTAACTTTAGTTACAGTTACAAATTCAGTTGAACAGATTTGAATAGAGCTGGCAGCAAGAAAAGAGGATGCATGTTCAGTTTGCACAATAAGGCCCAATCCCATTTCACCCTTTGCCCCTACCACCCTTCGGTTTTGCGCATTCACGTCTAGGGGTAGTGTGTCCTGATTTTTGTTAAGATAGAGGGGTAGGGTGAAGTGTTAGGGCTACATGGCCCTCCAAATGAAGTTTTTTCAGAGGCACAGTCCAAACAGAGTGATATGAGGAAAAACTGGCAAGATGGCTGAGCAAGAGACCAAAGAAACGCACAAATGTGAGAATTTTCTCTGTTTAAAATTATAATAACCACTGTATTGTCTTAGTTTAATGTTATTTCAATGTATTATGTTCCTTTTCTTCATAACAGGCTTTAAAAATCGCTAGTAGTAGCTGATGTCTCAGTAGCTAGCTAGCTAAATTTTCCGTTCCACCTTAAATGGAAAAATTAAATTTAAAGCTGGTGAATATCTGACTTCAGCTTCATATCACTGAAGAATTAGGGGTGGATGATAAATAAATGTTGCATCCTCCTCTTTGAAGGTATATGATTCTCTAAATGTAACTAAAGTCCAGCAGTGAGGAGCTGAACTTTACCCTCCTCTGCTGTCACTGCAGACTGGCAGGGTCGCCTACAGAGCAGCGCTGGTAGCTGTTAATGAAGTAATGCTCTTTTTATTTGAGGGTCCCATTTCACTGAGGAAGATTTCAACCACTACCCTTTGTAACTCAGTTCCAAGGGGCAAGGTGACACTCAAAAACAAGTGGTAGGGGTAAAAATAAGAAATGGGATTGGGCCTGTACTTGTGTGCCGAATCTGCATTGGCACACAGACATGTACAAAGAGCTGTTCAGAAGATGCTTGTGTGTAATCTCACTTGGGCTTTAATGGGTGCCGGAAAAACCAGAAGGCTGCAGTTCTGAGGTACCAACCACTGGGTCACAATCTGGGTAAGATTTAAGGTTTTGGCCACCTATTACGGCACAACCCATATATTTCAAAATTCTCCACAGGACACTCTGTATAACAGTGTACAGCACAGATACATCTTTACAACTGTTGCCTCTCTGTGTGTCTAGCTACTTGCTTTCCAGACCTCTACCAAGGTTAAGCTGCTTCTATTCCATGTAGCTACTCTACATACATAATATAGAACCTTGTAGTGAGGTGTTTATGCGCATATACTGACTTCTTTACTTGGCTGTTTCCGTAGATGAGGTTTTAAACAAAACGATCTATGTTGCTTCATTCTGAGACCATATTCCAAGTTGCCTAACAAATCAGAGAGAAGAAAAACAACGTTATCCACGAGTTTTGATTGGTCAGTTCCATATGTTTAACAATTTTCACTGGCTTGTTTCCATCCATTTCTACAGATACTGAAAAATAAAGAGCACTGAATTGCTTCTCACATTACACAGAAGCTGTCACATTACATATTAATGAAGCTGTCATTTTCTATTAGGACAGGGGTCGCAACCTAAATGTTAAGAAGAGACATTTTGTCCTTTCAACAAAAATCAAACCACCTTGGATGTTTTTATGTGCATTTTACCATCTTGGCTGTAAATATGTCTTAGTATGTGCTGATGTCCTAGTATAGGCTAAAAAGTATAATATAAAAAGAAGAAACGCAGACTTGCTTTGCTCTGCTTTATGCTTTAGCTCAGTTAGAGCTGCTTTTCTCGCATCTCTGGCAGGAAACTTTTCCGCAGAAATTTTTATGAGGCTGAAGTCAGTTCCTCATTCACCAGCTTCTTGTTTGAATTTTCCCGTTCCACCTTAAATGTTGCCTGAGGCACCAGAATGTAACTGCTGCACTATTTAAGGTGGAACGGGACAATTCATACAAGAAGACTTCAGCTTTGCGACTTTTTAGTGTTTGACAGTTTCTCGTTGCAGATTAAACGTATCAGGAAACCAGCTGAATGCTTATGAACACAAATGAGTCCATTTGTCTCCAAATCATCGATGTTCATCTTAAATCTTTCTTTTTGTATTTTTGTTAGCTACTAGCTAGGCAAGACTGTCTGCATTGCTATGGTGACCAGCAGTCTGCACACCAACCTTCAGGGCTAAAGGGTGAATTAGCAGTTCTACATGAACTCCAAAGTTTAACACCATTTATTGTTAAAACTGCGTCAGCAGAGTTTTATTTTTATTTTTTTTATTTACTGCGAAGACGAATTTTATTGTTATGCAAAAAATCTGCTGTGGAGCCACAACAGGGCAGTAAAAGAGCTGCATGCAACTCCAGAGCCGCATGCTGTCAATCCCTGTATTAGTGTATCATGCTAGGGTAGTTTGCTAGCACATCTTAACTAACCTCAGGTAAGAGTCAAATGGTTATATTTATGTTGTAGTCATGGCGACCCCTGAATGATTTAATTCCCCTTTAAACACATACACATATGAACATAAGCACGCTCTTATGCAAAACATTAGCAATATTTCAAATAAGCTCCAGACACATTTTCAAACACTTACCAGCATTTTTAAGAATGATTTAACATTGAAACAGCTTCTTAACCATTTTAAATGGACAGAGCCCACCCAAAGTTTTATTACACACTTCTGTAATCTAAGACTAGCTCAGCCAGTTTGCACTTTAGTCCCTGTAGTTCCTGAGATTTTAAGAGGTTAAATGCAACAGTGCAGTATTTTGGCTCCATATGGAAGCAGAGCTGTGGTGCCTACAATCCAGATGTGGGAGGTCATGTATTTGGATAATGTGAGGGAGGTGTGAAGACTGACTCTAAGTAGGTTATGCCTGTGAGCTCCTGCAGCATTGTGGGCCTGTCTTGTCTGAAACCGCCTCTAAATTATAAGATCATTACAACATCTGCTGGTGTGAGGGTATGACATTGACAGATGGCCAGGTGTGTGTACACTCTCTCACACACACTCCAGCACAGCATATAGATTACAATGAATGAGTGAGGGCAGAACGAAATGCTTTCTGGACAGCTGCCGGAATAATTTTATTCAATCTAAATTGTCTTTTTAGAATGCAACAGATTTTAGACATTTATGGATGTTATTTTTTGCACTGTGAGACAAGAAAAAGATCACCAAACAAAAGGGTGGTAAGTTCAAGTGATCATAATTATTTCTTAATACCAAATTATTACAATTATTTTTTTTTTACACTGGTATTATTCATTCACATGAAGAAGTACGCCTTTGCCACTACTTACAGAGAATGTGAACCATTTTATGTCATTAGTCACTTCACTGACATATGATCAGACTATGAGCTGTAAAGCTGAGTGGAGCGTAAATGGGAGATAGTATTTATCATTAATTATGACTTCCATTGCTTTTCGCTGTGGCAATCATTCTTACATCATGATCATTCATTCTTACTGCGCATTTAGGTTTCAGATCACACATTTAAAGTCATTTGCGCTTCATCAGTTCATCGGGCGTATCATCATCAGTTACCGCGCTGTCATCGTTATCATCTGCCTACGTAGCTGCACAAAACACAAGAGGTAGACCCAATTTTGAAGTTACAACAAAATGATCATTGTGCTGCAGGTCTGTAGAGCACATTATGAGTTTATTAGAACATTGGAATGGTGCTTATGAATAACCTACTCTTCAAAAACCACTTTTATTCTATTTTTGGTCCCACCTCTATCTTGGCTATCTCTTATCCACCTCACTGCCCTGTCAATCATGGCTTGGGACCAAACTCTGCGGCTTTGCGTCCAGATGGGATGGGTGGCAGAACAGGCTTGGCGTTGGAACCTGGGCGACCCGGGGAGGTGGTCAGTGTTGGAGAGACTCGTTCTGGGGCTGAGCGAGGGGCATCCGGGGTCAGACCTGAATCCGTGTGATCTACAGTCAAAGAATAAACAGATATGTGCAGTGAAAGCCTTGTCCTGCAACAGACATGATAAGGGACAAACAGAGAAACAGTGCTTGGCTGAAATCTCAGTCAACACATATTTGCCTTCAGTACCTGTAAATCTTGGAAAGCAAAACAAAATAACCAACTGACCGTTGGCAAAATTTTGAGCGCCAGGTTTTCATGTGTGAAAAGGAGGAGGTTTAATGCCATGGAAGCTGCCCCTCCCCTTCAGATGAGCTAATGTTAAAGACAGTCAGAGCTGGGCAATATTAGATGCTGAGGTGGACTATTCATCATGTGCACAAAGTCTTTCTGTAAACTAACTCATATGTTCCTCAGTAACTCCTTTCCAATATTTCTTAGCCCAGGGGTCGGCAAGCCGCATGCAGCTCTGCCCTGTTGTGGCTCCACAGCAGAATTAGATTTGTAAGTAAAAATAAAATAATCCTGCTTTGCTGTAAAATAAAGCTCTGCTGATCGTTCAACACAGTTTTAACAATACATGCTCTTAAATGCTGGAGTTAATGTAGAACTGCTAATTCACCATTTAACCCTGAAGGTTGGCGCACAGACTGCTGGTTACATAGCAACACAGACAACAATCTCGCCTAGCTAGTAGCTAACGAAAAGGCAAAGAGAAAGATTTAAGATGAACATCAATAATTTGGAGACATATAGACTTATTTGCATTTATTATCACTCCAGCTGGTTTCCTTTTTCTCGTTTCCCGTGGAACGGGAAAATTCAAACATGTGAATGAGAAGCAACTTCAGTCTCGTAAAAAGTCGAATGTTGAGAGAAATTTTACAAGAAACTGTTCTACTTTTGAGTAAAAATTTCCTGCCGGAGACACGAAAAAAGTGGCTATATCTGAGCTAAAGGTTAAAACAGAGCAAAGTAAGTCTGGGTTTTTTGTTTATATTATATTTTTTAGCCTATACTAGTACATTAGCACATACTGAGACATATTTACAGCCAATATGGTAAAAAGAAAATAAAATGTTGTGGCTCCCAAGGTGGTTTTATTGTTGTTGAAAGGACAAAATGGCTCTTCTTAACATTTGGGTTGCCGACCCCTGTCTTAGCCTAATAATTCTAACTAATTTACTACCAATGCCAGTCTCACTACAGGTTGGAGGTGTTTTTCCTTCTGTCTGGCAGAGGAAAGAATGTTTGGAGACAAATGTAATTGGCTGAGAGGCCTGTCAATCATAATTTTGCAAACGGTCAATGCGAAAGTCACTCTAAATGCATTATAGCTTGTATTATTGGCTTAGAACACTTCATGATAAGGGCTTGTAGAGTAATGAACATTATGTAATCAAAGACGTATGGTCCTTGCCTTTGGTCAATTCTAGGTTTTGCCCCACTGTGGAGATATCCAAGGGATCCACCTTTGGCCCTGCTCCTGCATCCAAGCCCTCAGCTGGGCTCCCCACAGACAGTGCCCCCGCTGAGCTATGCATGGACAGGCCAGAACTGGCACGAGATTCCTCTGAGCTGAGAACGTGAGAAAGAGAGAAAGAAAGGGAGAGGGTGACAGAAAGAGAGGTAAAGAGAGGTATTCATAGTATGTAGACATGTATTAATGTGATTTATCAGAAGCATGTTGGCTCGGCTCCCAACACTCCTCTTAATATAGCTGTCAGGAAAGTATTACTGACAGGAAAATATTGCGGAGAGCCTATATTAGTTCCTTCATGGATTGCAAATAAAACACATTCATCAATAAAGAATTAACTAAGTAGAATCCCCAGCCATCCATTAACAGCATGTTAGAGACGCAAGTTTCAGAACTGTTCTGTTATTACAGCGAGGGCCCTGGAGTCTGAAAGAAACCACTTCGGCTTCAGAGCTTCAGGACTAGATGCAGGATAAGTGCGTCCACAGGCATCTGGCGTTCCCCCAGCAGAGGGAGAAACAAAAAGCTAACGTTAACACAATTACAGCATGTGTGTTTTTTTTTCTTTTCATCAAATAAGCTACAAAATGAGTTAGTGACGGTACGGCGGGCTGGTTTGGCGACTCAGAAAGAGAGTCTCTCAGGACTCTTCTTAACAGGCTAAATTAGCGCACGTTTAAATATCCCGAGGCCATGCATATTTCACAGATGTAGTTGTGAGCTCCCTAGCCTATTTATGCCCCGTAAGCAGACACAGAGGAGCAACTCAAGCACCAATAGCCATAAATCTGCATTTATGTATGCTCAGACACAGCCCCCATATGGCGCACTGGTAAGCAAGCACGGCCGCTTTTGCTCAGCCCTGGAGAGGACAACTCTGACATCTGATCTACAATGAATAAAACAGGGAGAGAATGAAAAACTACAGGTGTAATTCTAAATGTGCTGCTTTATTGTGGAAAAATATTAATGAGAGAGATGTCTGGGTGAGTAATGAACATATGCATTTATGCTTAAAGGAGAATGCATGTGGCACACTGAAGGTTTGGAGGTAAACAGAATGTGTGTTGGCAGGTCAGAGATCAGAAGTTGAAGGGTCAGGCTGGGGGTGATATACCTGCTGTCCTCAGGGCGGTCAGGTAAAGGACGGCCAACGTTGGGGATCAAGGAGGAAGAGGGGCCGGGCTGGGAATGAGGGGCCAGTAACGATGGAGCTGTGTGGACAGATCTGTAACACACACATGCACACTTTTAATCCAGGTCATTTAACACTGTTCGCAGTAGGACACAAGGCTACTCATGCAAATTTAAACAAAAAGTCAGAGACCACACTTTGTAATTTAATCTTCAGTCAAAATGGCCATTAAGCGCAAACTACTAATATAAAACATAACATAGGAACCTCTGAATAAGTAAATATTTTTTTTTGTTCACGTTTATTACCCTTACAGAAAATCATATATTTTTCATGTAAAGTGTGCAAAAAACACATATTTACAAGTAATCACATACTTAGGAGCATGCTATCATCACATAATATTTATTTTATTGTAAATACACATTTTTTCCCCAAGTGATAACACATTTTTAACACACGACCTGTGCAAAACCACATCTGTTTTTTTTCACACAAGAAATTCATGACTTTTTTGTGAGGGTACAGCTTCTACTCTTTTCAGGAGACTCGCTTTCAGTTCTTCAAAGATTTCAAATCTGCAGGGATATTTTTCCACTCTTCCAAAGTTCAGTCTTCGAAGCTGGTTGATCATTTTCTGAAGTAATCAAACACATTCAGTGGTGTTGAGGTCTGGACTCTGGGGTGGTCAGTCCATTGTTCAGCTTCTTTGTTTGATGTGTCCGTCTCCTTTTCTCAGTGAGGTTCTTCTTGAACAGCTACACATCCTTTCAGACCCACAGCGCTGAGTCGTCTTCTCACAGTGGAAGGATGGACAGAAACACCTGTGGATGTTTTCAGATCTGAAGCAGCTTGATTTTCTCCTCTCTCTCAGAGATGAAAGCTTTAAGTGCTGTTTATCTGATGGGGACACTTTTGGTGGTCTACCAGGTCTTGCATGGTTGATAAAAGCCCCTGTATGGTTGTTAGGTGTTCCATTTTCTCTGTAGCTTTTAGTCATTTTTGACGTCTAGTTTTGGAAACTCTTGTTTTTTCACTTATTTTCTTTTGAATTTCCCCTTCACTGCATATGGATTAACTTATATCTGATCTCAGAAATATCCCCTGAAAAAATATATATTGTACTTAATGGCCATTGTTACTGAAAATTAACCCCTTAAATGGCCAGCCTAGGAACAACCTAGGGACAACCTAGGAATAGCTCATCCCATTTGCCTTAAAGTCACAGTAGTTACTGAACAATGAGCTTTAGTATGTAGTAAGTCTGGGATTTTAAGGGGTTAAACAAATGAAGGGTGGTCTCTGACTTTTTCACAGTACTGTCAATGCACACAAATACAGACAGATGTGTGATTCTTGAAATAGCAGAACATCCTGAAAGAAAAGCGGGGTCAGCTGGACCACAACAAGGCATAAATTATAATATATTACTCGTAATAAAAAAGAGAGAAACTGTTCTGCACTCAATAGTACCCTCTGCTGGAAGTGTTGCACATAATTTTGTCTGCCTTCTTGCCTTATAAGAGCACCACTTGTGATGATACTGAAATGACAGTATGTCATATTTAAGTTGATGTTAAATGTAAGTTAGTTGTGAGTGTTTAAACTACTACTGTACTACATTTACCTTTTAAAAAGCTGTGTATACGCCCCAGGACTCTTGCCCATCAGGGCTTCTCGAACCATCTGCTGTTTCCTGTGGATAGAGGCCAGTTCCTATAGTTCCATAACAGGAGAGAGAGTCAAGACTTGAATGAATAATTCAGATGAATTTAATCCTTAATGTAATCTCTACAAAGCATCTTCAGTAAAGCACATCTCTAAGTAGCACTCATTCATTTATTTTGTTCACTTTGTGACATAAAAACATCAATGATGACAATGAAAGTGATGGTGAAAGAGTGTCTGGCAGACATGCGCTATGGGTTCAAATACCAACAGTGGTCTATCTCACTCACTGCTGAGGTTTTCTGCGGAGTCAGCCCGGCCTGGACTTTGTTCCAGTAATTTCTGCTGTAGGAGTCTGTGCTGCTGACCTCCACCTTCTCGGCAGCCGGAGGCTCTCCAGTCACATCTAAAACAGAGAGATACATGCAATATCCACATACACAGGCAAGCAGATGCAGGTGACCTTTCCCTACTCAATCACCAACTGTGAAAAGTCACAGAAGTGAGTGAGCAGATGTGCTGCTTCTCTGTGATACTATCTGATGCAGGAAACACAGTACAAATTAAGGGGTTTGCTCAAAAACATTACACTTTCATGAATTTCCTTTCTTTGAGTATGCTATAAGCTGTTGGGAGTGGATTTTACACATGAAAGAAATTTCAATGCTATGCGGTTTCTGACAGTGTTATGCAGCAGCCTGTCTTCTCAGTGGAATAAAACGCAGCGAGCATATCACTCCCAGCCTCTCTTCAGCATATTTTAGGAATGATTTTAAAATAATGGTTCTCACTTGTCAGGCATTGCATGATGAGGCCCCTAAAATACGTTCCTGAGCTGCTGTCCTCATACAATAATGTGGAGATGCACAGATGATCTAGTCAGATCCTTCTGCTTGTTCCAAATACAAAGTAAAATAAAAAAGATAGGGTATTGCTTGTGCACGTTCCTAAATTCTGGGACGCTGCTCCTCTGGACATTAGACTGTTGGGTTCTGTGCATTTTCAATAAGTGTCTATGTTTATACTCTTGCCTTTGATGGCTTTTAATATTTGAGGTTACACTTTTTAATTACTTAATTTTGAGTATATATCGCTGTTGTCGGATCAAAACCTCGTGTCTCCAAAATGGTAACTTTACAGGAGAAGGAAAAACATACTTTACTTTTAATGTAAGTCAATGGAACCAGACATTTTTCCAAGCCATTTTGGATCATTTCTTTTGGTCCATTTATCATGGAATTTACAAACAATGTAAAGGACAACAGGCATTTTCAAATTATGTCAAAAACTGAAAAAATCAATCTGACAGCAGCAAAATATTTGTATTGTTTTAACTTTTTTATTTTGCCTTGATATTTTGTTTTATGTGCATGTTTTTGACATAATTTTTGTATTACTACTTTTATTTTAATAATTGTTTTATTACATTGTAAAATTGAAATGTGAATTTATTTTTGTGCTAGCTGTAATTCTTTTCAGACATCCTGAACTGTTACCAATGCATTTACAGCATTTTGAAATGAAACTCTTCATATATAAAATAAAGAACTGACCTTGAGCTGAGGCTTACCTGGGTGGGTATTGTCAGATGTAGCTCTGGTATGCTCTCCTCCTCCTGCCCCCTGCTCCTCCAGGCCCAGGTACTCTTTCACCAGCTGCCTCAGAGCTCTGTAAGCCTCCTCACGGTTGTCTATTAGTAAAATAACTTATTATGTTAGTCCCTAATATCCTAAGATAAAGTCACGAGAAGAGACATGAGCCATTCCATTATTATATAATCAAGCCAAGAAATGATGTCCAGAGTGACTTTTTAAAACTTTTCATTTAAATTTTTTAATTATAAAAGTTTTTTTTAAAAAAACGTCGATCTTTCCATCATTCTAAAAATAACTAAAAATAAAAATTACTTAGTACTAGAGGGTTGCGAATCAATCAAAAACAACCAAATTATCATAATAAACCTCCAGAATTGTGGAATTTAAAGACACAACTATACATTCAGAGAAATAAAAGAGTAAACATATGTGCTCAGCTATGCGAAAGTCAAAGACAAACTTTCATGTATTTAATTTCCAGTCAAAATGGTCAAAAATGTCAAATAAGTACAATTTATAAATTTTATGGGAGATATTTCTGAAGAGTTTGCATAATCCATTTGCATAAGAAAGAAGAAAGGCAAAGGAAAATAAGTGAAAAAAAAACAGTTTCCAAAACAGGAGCTCAAAAAATGTCTAAAAGCTACAGAGAAAATGGGGCTCCCAAAAACCATGCAAGGCCTGTTAGACACCAAAACTGTCCTAATAAGATAAACAGCACTTAAAGCTTTCATCTTTGAGAGAGAGGAGAAAATCAAGCTGCTTCAGATCTGAAAACATCCACAGGTGTTTCTGTCCATCCTTCCACTGTGAGAAGACGACTCAGCGCTGTGGGTCTGAAAGGATGTGTAGCTGTCAAGAAGAACCTCACTGAGAAAAGGAGACGGACACATCAAACAAAGAAGCTGAACAATGGACTGACCACCCCAGAGTCCAGACCTCAACACCACTGAATGTGTTTGATTACTTCAGAAAATCATCAACCAGCTTCTAAGACTGAACTTTGGAGGTGTGGAAAAATATCCCTGGATATTTCTTGAAACAACTGAAAGTGAGTCTCCTGAAAAGAATGGAAGCTGTAGGTAAAGAGTAGATGCAAAAAAACAGATATTATATTTAGTTTTATATTTAGCTTTTTACTCATGCTGAAAAATGAATAACCTGTACTTAACGGTTGTTTTGACTGGAAATTAAATAAATGAAAGGTGGTCTCTGACCTCTGTACAATTCACTTGATCAAGGTTCGTACCACTGGGAATCACACTGTCGAAGAAGCCAGGCCGCTCTTTGTTGATTCTGACATAGAGGTCGATTCGTGACACTGCTGTGTTTATCTGGCTGTTACTGTAGAGGCCTCTGGCCTTCATGCGTGAAATATACTCTTCAGTGCTGGTAGGGATCAGCAGGACGTATCTGGGCTCAAAATATGAGTTTTTCAGACTAAATACGCCCTGTGGACAAAAAACAGACAGCGAAAATTCACATATACACACATTAGGCAGGTAAAAAGTTGGGTGAAGAAGTCACATAAAATAGTCCTAATCCTCTTTTCCATGGTTTGTTGAAGCTTATTTGACACTTTATTGTGAGAAAACATTGTTCTTAAATGTACATCAGTCAGAAAGCAAGACTGGTCACAGAATAAATCAACCTATTTAGTTCAGTATTTCTTTCACTGGTCTTTTTGTTGCAGTGCAGACTTTACTAAAGCCAGGCAGACACTGCGATATTAGAAATCTTGTTCTTGACAACTCACACTGTACATTTGAATAGTCCATCATGTGCAGCCAAAGTCTGCGATTTATATACTCACACTGTATGAAAACACTCGGTCTGATTGACATGACATGACATTGGTGCTCACATGTGAAACGTAGCCACTACAGTCAGCTACGTCTACAGACAGTTTCCAATTAAGCTGTTTCATTCAAAACAGCACACTGCCCCTCAGAGTCCCAAACCAAAACACTGGCTGAATCTCAAATGGCTCCCCGCTCCCTACATAGTGCACCACATATTAAAATAGTCGTTCCTGCACCCATAAAGTGCATCACATGTCTAATAAACAGCTTTCTGGGATTCAGCCATGTGTGCACAGTTCCATACTGGACAAACAGTGCACTATTTTGGTGTAGAAGCCAGAACCTAGTGCACTACATAGGAAGGAGGGGGGCGTTTGAAATACAGCCATTGAGAAACAGCTACAACAGATTTGCTAACTTGTGTGATGTGCACTGAAGCTAAAGAACAGGAGGTCTACAGACAGAAGACCAAAAAAAAATCACCGTATTTAAATATACATCAAGTTCAAGTTTCAAGTTTATTTGTCATTTGCACAACATGTCAGGACATTCATGCATTGAAATGCTTGTGGTGAGGCTCAGGTAATCACGTAAACAAAGTAAAAATAAAAATACAAAGAAAATACTGAAACTGAAATATATTAAATATACACAGAATATACAGAAAATATACAGACAGGAGGGACCTATGTAAGAAAATGTACAATGTACATTTGTTCCGACATGTCAGAAATCCATCCGATCGTCCGGCTGCTCAATTGGAGCTCGCTTGGTCAGTTAGTCGGACATTGTTTCTCCTCCCACACTGCATGGCAAACGATAGCCGATGAAGCTGAAATTCAGCCTGACCATGAAATGCAGTCGGCTTGGACCAAATTGGGTTTAAAAACGGGCTAAAATCGGCCAGTGTATGTCTGGCTTAACGATGGGAATGTCAAATTTATCCTCGTATTTTTATACAAAAAAAAACATTCTGTTGTTGCAGTACTCAGAACTGCTGTCCACATTGTTGGGCTTTAAAAAAGATGTTTTAACATTTGCTTTATACTGTACCTCCAGTTCCATATGAACACAGCAAGCAAGGCCCTCTCGAGCTGCACCTTCTATGGCCTTCCGAGACAGACCATACCAGTGGCCTCCATACTGCATCGTCTGGACAAAGCTACCCTAAGAGACAGAGAGAGAGTGAGACTCAAAGACAGATCACGCTGCACTCTAAGTATGGAACTTGCTTGTCACGGAGCATCGCCGGAGAAAGTTATAGGTCACATTCATCTCCTAAATGGACCTTGTCTTAGATGTTCCTGCCGTTTAGCGCTCCCAGGCGCAATGCAAACCTTCAAGCATTTGACTGGTAGCTCTTCACACAACTTCACACAGCTGACTCCTGACCTAGTGTCCACCAGCACCTGGGTCTATTTAACCTGTGCAGTGCCATTTATCAAACACTGTGACCCTGAAGCCTTTTCACTGTCTATGACAGAAAACAGCCATGCTCTGAGAAACTTACACCATAAAGATGGCTCTATGACTGTCTCTGATAGAGACAGGATTAAAATATATTAGTATTTTATACATAAACCAAGACAAAAAGGTAGTGATGGCTGAATACACTGTCCTAAATGTATTCAGTGTCATAGTCTGTTACAATACATACAAATAACACATAACATTCACATTACATTTAGAGTACATCTTGATAAAGGACATGGGGAAGAAACTGCTGTTGTAATATTGAATTAATTCACACTTTTCCACACTGTTATTGGTCAGTAATTTTCTTCACGTAATTTTTCTGTTAACCCCTTACCAAGCCATGAGCTCACTGACAGGCCCAAAGTTTTATTACATACTTCTATAACCTAAGAGAAGCTCATTAGTTTGCACTGAAGTCCCTGTAGTTAATGAATAGTAAGCCTTAGTATGTAATAAGCCTGGAATGTTAAGGGGTTAACCTCTTAAAATCCCAGGCTTATTACACACCAAAGCTTATTATTTAGTAACTACAGGGACTTCGGTGCAAACTAATGAGCTTTTCTTAGGTCACTGAAGTGTGAAGGGCTAATATGTTTCATGAAAACGTTACATCTCATTTAAGTTCCAGAATTCTCTTTTTTTATTGTGTATTAATGAACCAGGCGACTCTCATAAAAGCTACATAGACATGTTGTTTGTGTTTTTATAAGCTGTCAGAAGTGAAGCATTGTAAACATAAGTCTGCATTCACATTTCCAGGCTGAAGTGGCACAAATCCATTTTTTTGCCTTGATGTCACACAGATCTGATGTTTTCAGAGCAAATCTGTTCTTTGCAAATCAGATCTGTGCCACTTTCATTTGTGGTCCTAGATCGGATGACCATGTGACCTTAATGAGGACAGTCAGATCAGAATTCAGGTTTTTTTTACTGCGTATGCACCATCACTCAGTGTTAACGTGGCAGCAGCACCTAACCTGAAGCTGGTGCCAGCAAAAGACCCTTTTTTGCCTTTGTCTTGCTCTAATAATGAGCACCTGAGAGCTAATCAGAGCAAATTATCTTTGTGACGAAGGCTTGCTCTGCTGGTTAGTTTGTTGTGGTTCATTCACGTGACGTTATTGATTAGGACGTGTGCATGTGGGTCATTTCAGGCCACAGGTTAATTAACATTAATAACAGATTTGAGTCACTTACCTAGATAAATTTAAACCATTGAGTTAGAAAGATTATCTGAGCAAAAAAACGCAAAATGAGGGTTGTAATGTTATCATAGCCTAAATGTGTTTTGCGTATGATATTGTCCCACTTTTTCTAAACTAAAATAAATTATGAAATATTTTCTCTAAATAATTTGTCATATTATAATACAAAATGGTGAATGTGAATATCAAGTGGGTAACTGCGCGATTTTCACTTATTGACATGTAACATTATGGCATGAAACACAAGCAAGAATATGTGAGCTGTGCGGAGTGAGAGCAGAACAAGGAGTGGAGCGTCATGATTTTACTCAAATTTTGCTCCATCCTGAGCCAGTCCTTGTTTTTTATTCTGACTTTCTCTGCATAACATGAGTGATGCGGCAGTGAGGTTGATACTGCATGTACAGCGTTTGCACTACTGTGCTCAAAACAGCAGATCTAAACTGGAAATTCCCACCAATCGCAAACAAACTTCAACAGATATTACTCACAAAGTGTTGTCTATTTTGCTAAACAAATGATATAGAAAATCATGTTAAAAGCATTGGCATTTGTTTACTCTTGACAGTTTTCTGGCACCTACCAGAAAAAGCCTGTATCGCACAGAATGTTTACCTAGTTTTTACTTAATAATACATTAATAACATTTTGGCTTTGCTGATTTAAGGTCATTTGCTACATTCTGTCATCGCAGTCCTTAACAAGCTATCTATGGTTGAAACTCACAGTGCGACACTGATAAAATAAGACTTGTAATGTGAACGTAGCCTAAATGTGCTTAATTGTATTGAGTACAAACATACTGTTCCATTTCTAAATGAAAACATATTATTAAATATTTTCTACAATTTATCATATCCTCATAAAACACTTTATTGATAAAAATTGAGAGTTTGAATATGAAGTGGGTAGCTATGCAACTTTCACTTGATGATGTGTAAAATCATGGCACGAAACATGCATAAGTCCAGTACAACACCGATGCTAAGCTTATCACCTGCAAACATGTTAACTGCTGGAGAAACTGTTCAGTACGATTATCCCATAAAGGAGTTTTGTAAGCTGAGAATAATAACTTACTCATCACATTGATTTATCAGTCAACTCAGGCTTTAGCAGGAACTATTGCAAATTCGATGACTAGCCAAATATTTGAAATTTCAGGTGTGTATATATATACTTTGCTGATTGGGGTTAATTTGCTGAATTCTGGCTGGCTGCAAGTGCTACTGCTGGATCTGGGTGCACATCTGTGGGTGTGAGATATGGGGCCAGGCTGGTTCATAATCCTCACCTGAAACTCCTCCTTTGATGCTTGCAGCATACGCTTATAATCACACTTCAAAGGGCTTCCGCTCTAAATCAAACCACGACCTCTATTTATCAAACCCATTGGACTTACAAAACTGCCCTGAAAAAGAGGAATGGGAGCCTCTAACAGCAAAGCTTAAAAGCACCGGAGAGCTGTAGTAACAGATCATGAGAAACATTCTTTCCTCCCATTTCAAATATTTGGCCAGTCATCGAATTTGCAGTACATTTGTAAACTATTACCAAGCAAGTTCAGAGCAGGCATGACTCCTTAAAACTACAAGATTACATGAGAACATTAAAGTAAAATAAAGAGCAATAGAACGATGTTGTTATCTGTTCTTTCAGCTGCACCCACAAGAATGCCAGGTAAAAACAGCAGTTAAGAACACTTTTGGACATGCTTTAGTGCTTATTCTACTACTTCTTAATTGTTTAAGGACTGTGTTAGTGTGTTATGAGATCCCCTGGGACATTATGCTGCCTAGAACACATTAAAGATCACTGGTACTAAAAGATGAAATATGAGTGTGCATTAGCCCTTTGAACCATGGGCTCTGCATCCTTTCAGCACCGTGGCCCTGGTTATGTAACTGACAATCATCAAGATCATTATGCTGAAACAGGTCGCTCACTATCAGTCAACACCAGTACAGTCACGGTACCAAACAAAATTACAAAAGCACAGTTAAAAATAATGAAATACTATTTACATCAGAGCCGCTAGCACATATTTGCTCACTGTAAGGCTGAACAAGAACATGAATATATATATATATATATATATATATATATATATATATATATATATATATATATATATATATATATGTACACACACACACATTTTTGTTGTTTTTCAGTTTTTGACATAATTTAAACAATAATTTGTTGCCTTTTACATTGTGTGTAAATTTCATGATGAATGAACCAAAAGAAAAGCCCCAAATTTACTTGGAAAAGTTTCTGGTTCCATTAACTTACATAAAAGTAAAGTATTGTTTTTCCTTCTTCTGTAAACGTATCATTTTGGAGATACAAAGTTTTTGTTCCGATATTCCGACAGCAGTGATATATATATATATATATACTGCTGTTACCAGTCCCTTTTTTCAATCTGACTTCCTCTGTGTGACATGAGTCAAGTGGCAGTGTGACTGCTACAGCTCGCACACGACAGCCATTTATACACAGTGTTTGTGCTGCTGAACTGTTCAGGAAACGTATACAGGAAATTCCCACCGATCGCAACAAAGTTCTACAGATATTACTCACAACTAGTCTCATGTTGTCTGTTTTGCTGTGCAAATGATAATCATGTTAAACGCATGTGCATTTGTTCACTCTGCAGTTTTCTGGCTTGTGATTGGGCCATCATTTCAAGCCTTCCACTAACAAAAAAAGCCTGTGAAGCACAGAAGGTTTAATTACTTTTTCATTTAGTAACAAATTAATATAACTTTGGTGCTGCTCATTTGAGGTCATCTGATTCGTCCTCTCATCGCAGTCCTTAACGAAGTGTTATACTTATATCGCAACAATGATAAAAATGCGATTAGTTAGATGTTTTACATTCTGACGTCAATATTATCACAGTAGTTATAGAAAAAAATCCAGTGATTTATTATCACTTTCGCAACATATACATAAAAAGACAGTCTTTTCTTGTACCTAGTAATCTGGATAATGCTTGTACTTGGAGATGTAGGCCTATCCTCTGCACTGTGGGGTCAAAGGTTTAAAAGAACACACTCCACCCAGGACCAACTCTAATGTATTTACAACTGGAAAGCTGGTTTATAATTTACAGTGCATACTATTGTACTGTAATTCTACTGTTAGGAGCACTATTTTGGGAATTCATTGTTTTTTCAACTTATTATACACCTTCAACTGACTATGGTCATAAACCACAGTCGTAATTCTGTTTGCTTATTGATAGGTTGACCAACTAGTATATAGATATAATACAGTAATTCAGTAATAATAATAATACAGTAATACTGAGACACACCATTCGAATCATGTTCTGAAATTCCTCATCCAGCACAAAGTGGTAGTCAGAGCCATCTTCCTCCCCAAAATAAGGCCCTCTGGTGGTGTGGCAAGCACTAAAAAATAAATAAATATGAAAGAACAGACACGTAAATGCAGACTTCCATTCACACGAGGCTTTCTACTAGGGCTGAAAGATTAATCGTTTTTATACCGAAATCGCAATTTAAAAGAGAACAATTTTCAAATCGCAAGAGCAGCAATTTTAACTATATCTACATTATGAACAAGTTTTAAGTGGGAAGGTTTAACCTACAAGTGAACTGCTTGTAGATGAGTTAGACCAATCAGAAGCAACCAAATGCCCAAGTGCTGTGACATCACAACCACAATAAGCCAAAAAAAAGGGGATGTGTTGGTGGTGGTCTTGGTCAAATAAAAGCATGGACATCAATTTACTTTAAAAAATCACAATTTAAATTGCAATCGCAATACTGGTCAGAAAAATTGCAATTAGATATTTCACCCAAATCGTTCAGCCCTACTTTCTACGTTCAACAAGTAAGAGTTACGTCATCCAGTCTCTGGGGTATAGGAACGCGTGGAGATTTCCATTACAATCTATAATGAGCTGAGGGAAATGCCATCTGCAGCAGACGAGAGGTGTAACTCTCTACTGCAAGTTATAACACTGTATATTTGCGTGCATCCTTGACAGCCATGTTTTTGTAGTACTTCAACACGTTTTTCATTTCAGTCTGACAATCATGAATATGCAGACATAAAGTATTCAAAGACAAGCACTCACCCATAAGCAAAATAATCACTGAATTCCTGGCACAGCTTATGGGCCAGCTCCCTCTTTCCACATGCCTGTGGCCCTGTGAGGATGAGCATGGGGTATGGAGCATCCAGACTGGGCAGGGTGCTGGATATTAAACAGATGGAAAACTGAACATTTAATTCAATTTGGGTATAAGGTCTAAAAAGACAACCTTAATTCATCTGTCCCATATTCATAGACTAGGCTTGGTTAATGCTTAACGGCATAGTGTAAACAAAATAATATGCACTGTACAAAAATAGACAGCAAAAAGTTCGAAACTATCAATTTTTTTGGTAACACTTTCTATGAATGTCACGTTTGTAAGCATCTATAAACACATTTATAACATGTTATAATGCATTCATATGGCATTATAAACGTGATTATAAACATTTATGAAAATGAATTACACTTTATAGCCATGTTTATTATACATTATGAATTGTTAATATAATGTATTATAAATAGCGTTAATAACATGTTATAATGTCAGTGCCAAAGAAGTCAGTCCCAGCTTGGAGGGCGTAAAGTAAAGACAAATACCAAGCTAACGGTGGTGTACATTACCTTTCCCACATTGGGTAAAACACTGATGGCAGCTCTAGTTTAAACTCTGACATTTGAAGCCTGTAATGTGCTTTATTGTGAATGTTTTAGTGTTTCAGTAAATCCTTCAGTAAATACTTCAACTTGAAGCCTCACTCTTAACACTGGAGGAGGCTTTAGTACAGTACGCTTCACTTTACTTAGAGCGGACAAATACAACTTATGAGCTCTTATAATTTGTTATGATCAGTACTTATAATGTATTATATTAACAATTCATAATGCATAATAAGCATGGCTATAACACGTAATGCATTTTTATAAATATTTATAGCTATGTTTATAATGCCTTATAAATGCATTATGAATGTGTTTATAGATGCTTACAAAGGTGACATTCATAGAAAGTGTTACCATTTTTTTTTATGATTCAACAGTTTAAATAATTTTACATAAAATTAAGTTTTTTAATGCACGTGTAGGTGTAGCGAAACAATGTCTTTAACTGACATATTAAAAAATAACAAAACAAAACATTATTTATATAATATGCCTAAATTACAATTACAGTTAATATCACAATAGCTGGGGGATACTGCCCTTTTGGTTGAAATGCAATAGCCGCCCTAGAAGCAAATAAACAACCACGAAAATTAGAAAGCTTTAGGGCAAAAAGTAATGACTGGCCTATAAAACTAATTCAGCCATTCATACCTGTCAAAGATGACCTGTGGCTGCATGTGCTGGTACACCACGTGAGTCATGTGATCTCGGGCCGCCACCACTTCAAGGGGTGGATCGAATTTGTTTACAGCAGAAACCTGAAAACAACATGCCACAGACGCACCAAAATCTATGATTCACATGAATAATATGCAAACACAATCGTTCACACTCATCCCTATATCATAATTATTATTATTTATTATTATTAACACCATTATTACGCATAATATCAGTAAAATGGAGGTATTTTTAAATAAACTAAAAAAGCAAATGGACCAGTATAAACGGTCATGTCATTAACTAAAAGCACAAATTATGAATTTATAGAACAGATTTCAGACTAAAACGATTTACCTTTTCCTCAGCAGTCACAGCCTGTTCATCCAAATCAGTAAGGCGATGAAGAAGGAAGATCACTGCTAGTCTGTAGTCAGGCTGTTCCTGTGGTAGAGAGTGAGTTTTTCATTGAAAAGAAGAATTTCGCAGACATGCAGTACCGTGCAGAAGTCTTAGGCACCCAAGCAAATTGTTTAAAATCATTTATCTGGACCGCTGGTGTGTTTTTGCCCCTAAAAACTATATAAGAGCAGAATAAATACAAACATTAGTGCAGTATAAAGAAACAAGAACTTCTTGTTTTCAAAAAAGTAGTAGATATTTCCTGAGCTGGTTGGAGGGACACAGGTTTCTCTTCAATATCCCCAGTCATCTCTCGGATTTGGAAGTCCATCATGAGCACACCTGATTACCTTTACCCTTTAAATGGTCAACGTTCGTCAGCAGGCCTAAAGTTTTATTACACACTTCTATAGCCTAATAATAGCTCAACCAGTCTGCATCGAAGCCCCTGTAGTTACTGAATAATAAGCCTTAGTATGTAATAAACCTGGGATTTTAAGGGATTAATGAAGGACTGAATAGCCAATCCAGATATTGGATGATAATTAATATTGGGGTTCCTCAAGGAGAGGTTTGGAAATAGTTACACAAAGACATAAACATACATAAAAATATTGCCTACTGTGTTAATGTTATTAATGGTTTCTCTAACTATTCTTATATATTCTAATATTAAGTGTTTTCTGAACAAATAAATGCTTAGTGCCCAGATGAACAGATTTTTAAATACAATTTTGTCAGGTGCCAAAAACTTTAGCAAAATTTTGCACAATGTACAATACAAAAAAGTCAAGCACATTTTTCTAAATGTGAAGTACACTGTTTACTAAGTTCATAAAACAGTTTACTGTTATTGATCTCTTTTTGTACTGAAAAGCCTTACTGCTTCATTCAGAAAGGACTGTTGTAGGCTCTTGGTTTTGGTAGTGATGAGACTGTAAAGGCATGCGTTTGTTAAGTATGGTGTCTAAGGTGGAATCACAGTGTTGTTTTAGACCTAAATTACACATCCACTGTCTGATGTAACCAGTTTACATACAGATATTCAGATATTACCTGCACTGGGTTTCTCTTGAGATTTAGCTCTCTCAGCAGCGGAAGATCATGCACATAAGTGGCCTCCTTGATCTCCCTAATCTAAGCAACAGAAGCAGAAGCAAAACATGAGGCAGAAGCAAAAATGGCCATAGTTCCATAACATCAACAAGAAATGTCTGTTTATAGTAATACAGCCTCACCAGATTACTCTCAAGATTGATGCTTCCAAGAAAATGGAGGTTCTGAAGACCAGAGAGATTTTGGATTCTGTTAGAGGACAAGTCCAGAACCTGCAGGGTCCGGAGGGTATGCAAATTCTCAATCTTCTTTATCAGGTTCCCCCTCTGCACACAGAAATGACCACCTAAAATCAAGAACTGGCATAAAACTATCATAGTTTTGTAACAATAACAATATTTATCATCACAATGTCCCTGTCAGAACAAAACCTTCTATCTGTTCACACAGGGTCAAAATTTCCTGCTGAAAAACGGTTCCAAATGACTTAAATTCTTGCTACATTGACTTACATTCAAAATTAAGAACAATTTTTGTATATGTCCCTTATTCTGTATATGTATTTTGGAGACGCAGGTTTTTTTTTGATAACACAACGATATGCATCAGTTGTGTTTTTCATCAAGTAATGACTAACAAGGATAAGCCCTACTGTACCTAATACAGGTATGATGGTGCAGCTCAACATTGCCCAAGTCTGAGCACCATGTAGGCCATATTATACAGCCGTCTGCAAAAGTGTGGGTGCTGCTGCAAATGACAAGTTCATTTTGCAAGCGAAAGTAAGTTTGCACCTCCTCTACACTACACAATTACTGTTTATTTGCTGAATTTAACACACTGGGGAAAAAAAAAACATAAAATGTGGCCTGGGCAAAAGTTATGACGCATTTTATGTTTTATTGTCTTTTTCCAAATATGTTGAACTCAAATAAACACAAATTGTGTGAATAAATAGAAACTTGCAGAAATATGCCATATCTAAGTTTGTTCCCTTAATAGAATGCAATAACTTATTTTCAGTTAAGAAAATCAACAAACCATTGCATACAGCTGTAACACAGCGTGATTTAAAAAGATGCATCCAATTTCAAAATGATTTATTTCACTTGTAAATCATTACAGATCAATGCAGTAAATTGTAAATGGTTTAAATGAGCATAATATTTATTATGTAATTTCACAAGTGCTCAGTATGAACCTCCTCCAGCTGTACGGACAACATCAACACCATAGTCAAATTCATCCCATACTGGATTGAGCATGTCGGGTGTCGCTGCACTCACGGCTCTTTCAGTGCGATTTCGGAGATCATCCAGTGTTGTGGCACCAACGACGAACGCTCTGAGCTGTTGGAGCTTCACTGCCCACGAAAATCACACTGCACAGTTATGACGGATTCACTGTTATTGAAGAGGAGAACGCAGAACGCTTTCTGCTCAGGGGTCTCATCTCCTCTCAGACTGAAGGGAGCCATCTTCCAGTGACAGTCAGAAACTCTATGACCCCCTCTTTCAATTGGATTGTGATTGGTTCCTAGGCGCCTCACGGTTGTAAAATCATGGCGCTTTGAAATCGGATGAATCTTTTTGAGTCACCCTGTATTATAGCATCCATATTTCCTGGCAATTTCACATTTCTAACAGGGTATTCGCAGAGTGCTATATTAGTACATGGCTACAGCTCATTGGCAGGTTTTTAGGCGACCTTTCTGTCTCAATCTGACTGACAGGCGAGCTCTTCTCAGATAAGGCTGATGAGCAGATCGACTGACAGCTGAACAGCTGCTAAGACACAGGAAATGCTTGCTTGTAAATCAGGGGCTCTCCAAACCTCTCACTGACCCACTCTCATTCCTTCCTCTGAGTCCCTGGCCCTCCTAAGGCAACTCTGGGCTGTCATCCAGAACCCAGCCTCCATGCCCTGCCCCCTCACCACCCCTGCCTGGCAGAGAAATGCAGACAGCGGGGGGACGGTGACCATAAGGGGTCCCGGATGCTCCGGTGCCAGAGTGTGATGAGGTGAGAGAGAAGTTACCTGACAAGAGCACCCTGCTCAGGGTTTCAGGGCAGCAGAGGGGCCGACAGGTTCAGCGTGTGGGTGTGTGTGTGTATGAGAGTGTGTCTGTGTGCATGCGTGCTGTTGAAAGTGGTCCAGCCTCGCTCACACCAGCAGCTGTGCCCTGAGGGGGAAAACGGACGACAGAGGACGCAGCACTGCTGACGATGAAGAATCACTTTGATAAAGGACAACGCAAACACCCTTCAGTGAAGTGGCAAAGGGTCTGGAGGCATGTTGGCATGCCATATGGTGGGCTTCAACACCAGCTTCCATTTTTACTCTTCTAAAAGGCTGGGGTGCCAACATGGATATTCACTGTAGGGGGGGACACCTGACTCAAAATCCCAAAACACAACATTACTGTCAACTATATCAAACGTGCATGGGGAGGCAAGAAGCTGCACATGCATTGTTACACAGTGAGAGGGGTAACCTTTCTGAAAGCGATGACATAACGGAATAATAAGGCAATGGATGACAGATGACATGGAGATACCGTGAGGTGAGCACTGAACAAAGGAAACGAGGGAAAAGGAAGGTGTCACCGGTTTATGAGCAGCACTCTGAAGCTAATTAAACCGAAAAAGACACATCAAAAATTTAAATAAAGAGAGGGCACAGCATGGCAATCACCATGGCAGCTGCTCACATGGAAAAAATGAGAAGCTTCCCTTATTAATGCTTACTGAAATATTAAATAAACAGTAGTCTCAATTTCTGAGCAATATCGCCACCTTAATATAGACTGAGAAGGACCAGTTTTTAGACAATTCTTTTTGTATTTTAATATAATTATAATAATAATTATAATATATTTCTCATATATTAATTTATAGCCAGTTCAGATTTACAAAACTAATGTCTTTTGACTTATTTTACTCATAAACATATATAAAAACAATACGTATTATATACAAAATATATATATTTATGAGTAAAGGTAACATGAAAGTAAGTCAAGGTCTGGATTTTAATGCTGCCTCAAAAAAAATGTTCTCATGCAAATTGCACCTGGTGTCATTATAAAACACGCTGATAGGATTTCTCGCAACAAGTAGCAATCACTGTGAACGTGAAGGAGCTTCCTGAAGTTCTTTCTAAAGGAATATGCCTGTCAGTACTACTGGTTCAATAATATGCAAGTGGAAAGTTCATGGAACCACAACTAATCGTCAGCTGGACAGGTGTGCCGCACTAGATTTCACAATACGCTCTCAGATTAATGATAAGGAAGGTAAGAGAGAAGCCAGTAGTCACTGAAAAGTGTGACAAGAGCTACCATAAGCGGCAAATTGCCCCACAATCAACCCCACGCAAAACTCCTTCGGTATATTTTGCACACAAGCATTTAGACAAATCAGAACTCTTTTGGACCATTGTACTCCTGGGGCTGTATTACAGAAACTTCCTATCTTCTTGTCTTAACTTGAGATCTGACAGGTCAAGATGAGATTTTTCACAAATTCGTACTACAGAAGCAAATCTTATCTTGATTTAGGAATCTTACAGCATCCCAGCTCAAGATAAGAAATCTTAACTTACTCGATCGAAGTTTACAATCAATTGTCATGTCTGTTACCTAGTACACATAAAGGTAATAAGAGGGGGTGGTGGAGATCGTGTCTGCAGTGTCTGGGGTTTTAAAACGCTGTTAATAAAAAAACTCAAACCACAGTTTTCAGTTTTGGTAAATGTAGCGTCATTATGCTGGTTATAGTGAACTATGCTGTCTGTCATTGCACAAAACAATAGAAACAGATGGTTAAAACAGAAGTTAAGACAGATCTGGGGTTTATCTTAAAGTTAGGACAGATTTAGTCTGGTTAGGATGTTTCCGTAATTCTGTTTTCGTATCTGGAGTTATCTGGATACGATTATGAACCTAAGAACGGTTGTTCTGTAATAGCTTCTGTCCTAAATTCAGCCCTAACTTAAGTTGTCATGGTGACTAAGCAGATAAGATAAGATTTCAGACTTAAGAAGTTTCTGTAATACGGTCCCTGGTGAAATGAAACAAAAACAGAACCACAGTAATCTGTTATGTTTGGAGAAAGAAGAGTGTACAGTGAAGTATGAAGGTGGGAGCATCACATTATTGGGCTGCTTCTTGGTAAACAATGCTGGGGCATCACACTTCATTGAAGGAAACATGAAAGGAGTGATGTACCAGGAGTTATTCGAGGAAAATTTAATCTCATCAGCCAAGAAATTGAATCTGGGGAGAAGATGGAAGTTTCAACAAGACAAAAGACCCCCCAACATTCAGCCAAAATAACTCAAGACTGGTTTCTGAAAAAGAAAGGTGCCTGCATGGCCTAGCCAATCTCTTGACTTGAATCCCATTGAAAATATGGGGGATTTTGAAATTGCGAGATCCTCATAACCCTGGGAAATTAAAGACAGTTTGTCAAGCAGAAAGAGCCAGAATTGAACCACAACGTTGCCAAAAGCTAATTACTTCTAACTATAGATGTCTCTAAGCTGTAACTGCCAACAATGGCTTTGTAACAAAGTACTAATGTTATTAAGCTGTGGTGTCGGAATACTTTCCTCCCTATTAATTTTACTTCTTAAACAAATCGTCTTTTATGACTATGAATACACACTATGTTGTTTATAAATACAAAGTCAAAAGACATTATGTGAAGTGGATAAATGTGCTGGAAATATATTAAATAACAAAACCAAAACTGTCTGAATATGTGCTTCCACCTCACTGAAGCTGCACCACTGGACTTGAATCGACCCTCACATTCCAAAGAAATGTGGAGCATATGAAATTGTCAGTCAAACTAGTGAATCAAACACAAAAGGCAATGCAAGGCAGTATTTACTACTCTCAGACTGGCCATTATTTTCCAATGAAATTCATTCCTTTCAACTATATAATCTTAAGCAATTCAACGTGTGAAATACTGACATTTTGAAAACCTGATGATTTCTGTGAAAGTATAAAATCCTTCACTACGGCACTCCCCTTCAGACAGTTTTGCAGGTTTGAGCATAATGTATTTTTATAAATGTCTAGGGAAAGTATTATTCTACTAGAGAATAGGCAGTGGAATATAAAATGAGACAAACAAAACATATTAGCAGCTTTCAAACATTCACAATCCCTCAAAGTACATTTTCTGTGGTTATGTGTTTATTGCCGTGCTCTGAGGATTTCCATGATTACCTATTGATACACATATTCCTTCAAAATATTTAAACAGCACTCCTGAAGGAATTCAGGACTGCCTGATTCTACGTGACCTGGCAGATGTCCATGACAGGCACATTAATATGTAAATTTGTTGTTATTTATAAACTGCAGGTGTGTTATTAAATACATAATACAAATCAAATAGTGAAATTACAATAGTAAAGGTATACTTCAGAGCTGAGCCACAGAAGGTTCACTTGTAAATGTTGCATAATTCACATGTTTATGTTATCGTTAGATATGACCCTCATGGACCCTCACAGAGCAGGTACTATTTGGGTGGTGGATCATTCTCAGTACTTCAGTAACACTGATGTGGTGGTGGTGTGTTAGTGTGTGTTGTGCTGGTCTGAGTGGATCAGACACAGCAGTGCTGCTGGAGTTTTTAAACACCTCAGTGTCACTGCTGGACTGAGAATAGACAACCAACCAAACATATCCAGCCAAAAGTGTCCTGTGGGCAGCGTCCTGTGACCACTGATGAGGATGACCAACACAAACTGTGCAGCAGCAGATGAGCTATCGTCTCTGACCTTACATCTACAAGGTGGACTGACAAGGTAGGAGTGTCTAATAGAGTGGACAGTGAGTGGACGTAGTGTTTAAAAACTCCAGCAGCACTGCTGTGTCTGATCCACTCATACCAGCACAACACACACTAACACACCACCACCACATCAGTGTTACTGCAGTGCTGAGAATGATCCACCACCCAAATAGTACCTGCTCTGTGAGGGTCAGTGGGGGTCCTGACCACTGAAGAACAGGGTAAAAGGGGGCTAACAAAGTATGCAGAGAAACAGATGGACTACAGTCTGTAACTGTAGAACTACAAAGTGCACCTATATAGTAAGTGGAGCTGATAAAATGGACAATGAGCGTAGAAACGAGGAGGTGGTCATAATGTTATGCCTGATCGGTGTATACGTCTTAGGGATTTATAGACCTCTCTGGCCGAAATGTGTAATTGCTCGCAAAGTGGGGTAGAACATTTTGTAACATGGGTTGTGCTTTGGACCTCTTCCCCAATCAATTATTATTGATTTTGCATTTGAAACCTAAACATTGAGCCAGACCTTCCTTTTGAGCCTGCGCAAGTGACGTTAACACAATTTTCACAAAAAAAACCCTTACATAGTGCAGCTTTAAGATTATTCTGTTATGTCATTATCCATTAAGTATGGACAATATCCACAACATGCTCAGAAAAGTGTTTGCTACGATATCAAAATTTAACAATATAATGCCAAAATATTGTCATATTGCCCATCACTACTTTAGACAATTAACTAGCCATTGTATGATTAAAATGTATTTTGGGGGAAAACCTGCAGCCAGTACTCATTTTGTTTTATTCCAGCTCCCAATGAAGGGAGAGAGAATGTTCCACATATGATGTATACTGGGATCTGGTGTAGAAATAGAACTAACTGGGGACAGGAACCTCTACTGAAGACACAGTGGTTAAGAGAACAGAACGTACCAGACAGAGATGTTTGAGAGGTAGATTGTTCAGGCCGCTGATACGTGAGATCTTGTTGTGGGCTATGCTGAGGTGGGTCAAGCTGCTACACTTCTCCAGCCCCCTGACTTCACTAAAGGAGTTATCTGGCCAGCAGAGAACTCAGTCAAGGCATTAACCTGAGAAAATTAGGTTTAATCCAATTACATCACGTATGATGTAAGAAGCAGGAATTATGCTGTATTTAGTTCTTTATTTAGTAGACTACTCTAATTATGAATGCAACTGTGGTTCTATGCATTACATGACATGAGACACACTAGACTGCAAGTGCCTTACACATGGTACAAGAACTCATGGTGCAAGAGACTGAGTTCAAAAGGATACAGTCTAGAATCAGCTTGCTAAGAGAAGCGTAGGCAGACAGGTCCTTCATCGCTGAAATCTGGTTATGAGAGAAATTCACTTCCTGTGGTAAAAGATGAAGATGAAAGATCAGTACAACCTAGTGCAGGGGTCGGCAACATGTGGCTCCGGGGCCCTACGTGGCTTTTTTACTGCCCTGTTGCGGCTCCACAGCAGAATCAGATTTGTAGGTAATTATAAAATAATCCTCCTTTACAGTAAAATAAAGCTCTGCTGATCGTTCAACACAGTTTAACAATAAATGGTCTTAAACTCTGGAGTTAATGTAGAACTGCTAATTCACCCTTCAACCCTGAAGATCAGCGCACAGACTGCTGGTCACCATAGCAATGCAGACAACAATCTTACCTAGCTAACGAAACGGCAAAGAGAAAGATTTAAGATGAACATCGATAATTTGGAGACGAATGGACTTATTTGTGTTTATAATCACTCCAGCTGGTTTCCTCATACGTTTAATCTGCAGCAAGAAACTGTCAAACACTAAAAAGTCATGAGGCTAAACTCAGCTTCTCATTCACCAGCTTCTTGAATTTTCCCGTTCCACCTTAAATGGTGCAGCAGTTGTATTCTGGTGCCTCAGGAACCATTTAAATGGGAACAGGAAAATTCGAACAAGAAGCTGGTGAATGAGAAGCGAGTTCAGCCTCATAAAAAGTCAAATGTTGAGCGTCATTTGTCAAGAAACTCTTCTACTTTTGTGGAAAAGTTTCCTGCTGGAGATGCGAGAAAAGCAGCTAAAGCAGCTAAAGCTCAAAGCAGAGCAAAGTAAGTCTGCGTTTTTGTTTATATTTTTAGCCTATACTAGTACATTAGCACAGACTGAGACATATTTACAGCCAAGATGGTAAAATGGGCATAAAATGTTGTGGTTTGAGTTTTTTGAAAGGACAAAAAGGCTCTTCTTGACATTTGGGCTGCCGACCTCTGATCTAGTGTGATATATGTATCATAGTAATGCAAAATAACTAAAATTGCTAATAAAATAAGTTAAAAAATGCTCCTGATTACATAAACCATCATTACACAAGTTAATGTCAATTGCAACCGGCATTCACCCAGCAGTTGTATCACATGCTTGTTGGTGATTATTAAGTGCAAGAGCCGTGAAATGTGGCATTTTCTGTGTATAAAGCACTGCATTATGACATCTAACATCTCTAATTTATAATTAGCTACACAAAATCTATGTTTTGAAAAATTGATTATTTATTATAAAATACAACACGAGCACAAGGTATTTCCTGTGTTTACTGTATATACAGTTGCCAGAATAACGTTTCTGAACTTCTTGTTTTCTGAACTGAAAAATCAGTTGTTTTTCAAAATCTTGCAGATGTCATGTGCAAGATAATGTAAACTGGACAGTGAAAAATAAAATTAAAATGGTGGAAATAGTGGAAATTAATTAAATTATACCCAAGTTCCAGTTCAACTTAAACCAACAAACCTCCCCTGCTGTATTACAGTACAACTCCTCTGTACGATAATGCTTATTTGCACAACTGTACAATGTTAATTTCCACAAATGTTTATATTATTCTATAACATTCTGTACATAATAATTATTTTGTACATATTTACATTGTTTAATTAGCTACTTTCACACTGGCTTTTTATGATGTACAAAAAAAAATATTTCATTTATAACAGGGACCTTCTAGGAAATAAATATGGTATCATTAAGTGTTTCATTTGGTATTGCAGGCAATAAGTCTGCCAGTTCCTATGTTTGTTTGAAAGCCAAAGCTCAGTAAAACTGTAGTTTGTTTGAAAGTTCAGTAAAACTGTGCTGAATCACATTATATCACTATTTCACCTCTCTTGAAAATACACACTGTACAATATATCACAACTGCTACTGTACTGACACTCTAACTGCGCACTTTAGGCTGTAAATACTGCTGCTATTCAAGCTGTGTTTACTACCTCATACCACTTAGTGCAATACCTGCTCTCATGTAAATACAATAAATCTGTCTTATATGCTATGTAAATATGCAAATAGATACACTTCTATTTATACTCTCTCATACTTTACTGTAACTTAAGTCTGATTTTTTTCAGAATATGTGTAATATATGTGCAATTATATATCTTGCTACTGTAACATTGCAATCAATAAAGGATCAATGAAATCTTATCTATCTATCTATCTATCTATCTATATAAAACACATGAAATGTGATTTCGGCAACAAACCTACTTCTACAGAGGCAGAGAGCCAAGAAAACAAATGCCTAGTGTACTGCACCCTTGGAACAAGGAGGTTATGCTCCTGTTCATAAGGGAGTTAAACTATACTTCAAAACGTTTTCTTATCCAGTTTACTGTGGGGTCTCACCTTGAGGTTTTTTGGGGGATGGAATCCAAAAAACTCAGAGAGTTCATTGTGGGAAGCATCAAGTATGATGAGGTATGGCATGTGGCTCACGCAGGATAAATCTACCAGTCACAAAACATTAAGCACAGAAAGCACAGAGAGGAATGGATGGCAGCAGTGCACACAACTGTGATTTTTTATCCACGTTTTCAAGGACAAAGATAAAGAATCGACTAAGGACGTTCAGCAACGGGATCACAAGAAAACACAACGGTGATGAATAACATCCCAGAGAATAGCTGTTTACCATATGTTCCTAACACAAACACGGAGAGACATACGTACCTTTTATTTTGTTGTAGGGGAGTTCAAGCTTTTGAAGATGGACGTAATTGCACAATACGGACACATTTTTCAGGTTTTGCCTCTAAGAGAAAATAATCATGAGTTTGATTAGGTGCTGACAACCTCCAGGGAACATAATTGAGTACATTTACATTTAGACATCTGGCAGACATTCACTGTGACCTCACCATAAAAGTAAGAAAAACAAAGTAGGAAATGAGGAATTGGCTTTTTTTTGTTGGAATGGTCAGATGGGCTGCTCACACGCTCATTATAGATCAACATAGATCAACAGACTCACTTTAATCTTACAGTAATTTCAATCTAGCAATTCTATACCTGCACATATATACATCCTGTACATTTTCTATCAATATCTTGTATAATCTGGAATATAAATATCAATATTCTAGCCCCTGTGTATCCTGCATCTCATTTATCTACCTCAGACTCACTTCTTGCATATATGGAAATGTGTTTAACTGTATTTATCATAGCTTTTATTTCATAATCTATATTACTGTTACAAAAACTGTACATTGGAAATGGTGCAATACTGGTGTATCACAATGTGTATACTTAGAGTCTAATGTGTATAATTTTTATATACTTTTTATTTATTTTTGTACGGCGCCCTGCCAGTGACATCCTGTATAAATAAAAATAATGCTTGGCCACGACTTGGTAAGGCGTGGAAATGAGGTGATTAAGTCGTGGCCATGACTTAATAAAGCGTGGGAACGAGATACTAATGCGTGGCCATGACTTAGTAAGCCGTGATCTCGTTCCCACACCTTACTAAGTCATGGCCACGACTTCATCATCTCATTCCTACGCCTTACTAAGTCGTGGCCACGCATTAGGATCTCGTTCCCACGTGTTAATAAGGCGTGGCCACGCATTATTTTTATTTACGCAGGATGTCACCAGCAGGGCTCCGTAATTTTTGTTTTTAAGTACTACACTGCAAAAAATGGCATCTTGTCAAGTAAAGTTATCTTAAATCTAGTCGATATACCCAGTGTTTCTCCTGTTGAGATTGTTGTGAGCCTATTTTAAGATTATTCAACATATTTCCAAACATTTTTTACCCGTTTTAAGTAATTTCAATGTAAAACCTATATAAACTATATCGGCAGATAATTTTGCTTGTTTTAAGAAATGTGCTTGAAACCAGGAAAATTATCTGCCAGTATAGTGAGATAATTTTACTTAATAAAATTACTTAAGACAAGTAAAACTGTCTAGAAAAAAGGTAAATAACCTTATAATAAGGGCATAACCATCTAAAAATTAGAAATATTGGATACTTCAACTATATTTAAGACCATTTCACCTGACAAGATGGCATTTTTTTGCAGTGTACCTAAGATTTTCACTCCTGTGTAAATGTGATGTGACAATAAACGTGATTTGATTTGATTACATTTCTCAGGATCTATGAATATTTAACCAGTCAGGTTTTAATGAATGCAGAAAAGGCTTTATATTTCGTTCTATGACACATTTTTACTTGTTCCTATTATTTATTAGAAGCAACATATCTGACCAAAACAGTCAGAATTTGTTTTATTTTGTCAATTGGTCAACTAGATGGGGCTTTTTCATGGCAGTTCAACCAGAAACTGTTCATTCTGAAAGGGGGAGTGCCAAGTGTAACTGGGAAAAATGCAGAAGACTACAGTTCAACCCAAAACGATGCACTGCAACCAATAAAATAGATAAAGGATAATTAACTTAAAGCAGATCTAGGATCAGTTGTGTAGTTTGATTGGATGCTTCACTAACATTACAACTAAACTCACCACCACTGTGAATCATCTTCCTATCAGTGTCCGTACACCTGTACATTAACTCAGAAGGATTATTTCTAAATCTGTAACCCCAGATACAGCCTATGAACACTAATGCTTGTGAACATCATTCAGAGTGGTTTGGTGTGAAATGCTCCATTCTAGAGAAACTTACCAAGTCAGAACTGATCACAGTGGTGGTGATAGGAACCAGGGGCCGTATTACAGAAACTTCTCAACTCTGAAATCTTATCTTATCTGCTTAGTCACCATGACAACTTCAGTTAGGACTGAATTCAGGACAGAAGCTGTTACAGAACAACAGTTCTTAAGTTCATAATCTTATCATTAACTCCAGATAAGAAAACAGAATTACAGAAACATCCTAACTAGACTAAACCTCCTAAATACTGTCCTAACTTGAAGATAAACCCCAGAACTGTCTTAACTTCTGTTTAACCGTCTGTTTCTACTGTTTTATGCAGTGACAGGCAGCACAGTTCACTATAACTGGCAAAATGATGCTGGATTTATCTACATCGAAAACAGTGCTTTGACTTATGAGGGTTTTTTCTAATCGGGTTTAGAAAATCAGAAATGACCCCCCCCCACCTTGTTACTACCTTCATGTGTAAACGATGAAAACTTATCAGATGAAATATTACAGTGATGGTGGTGAATAATGAGGAGACAGAGCTGAACGTGTGTCTGTTTATTAGGAGGAGTAACGTTAGCGCGCTCGGCTAAAGCGTTTGGGAAACTGAAACTGAAACTGGAGAGCAGCGACGCTCTGATAAACAGCAGGGGGCGCTCTCACAATATTCCTAACGTCAAGTTTATCGCGCTTTAGTTTTGTTTGACCTTTTTTACCTCAGTAAGTGTAAGTTTGATTACGTGTTTACACTTCAGCTGTGTGGATATGCTCGGTTGCTAGGTAACAGGCATGACAGTTGATTGTCGACTTCTATTGAGTAGCTTAAGATTTCCTAACCTGAGATAAGATGCTGTAAGATAAGATTCCTAAATTAAGATAAGATTTGCTTCTGTAATACGAATTGTGAAAAATCTTATCGTGACCTGTCTTATCGCTGTTGTTTTAAGACATAAAAGATAGGAAGTTTCTGTAATACGGCCCCCGATGTCCAAAGAGTTTAAAGGTGCAGTGTGTAAGATTCAGTGGCATCTAGTGGTGAGGGTGCAGACTGCAACCAACTGAATACCCTTCCCTCACCCCTCCCTTTCCAAGCATGTAGTAGAACCTGCAGCTGTCATGTTTCGCTTCTTTGACGACAACGATTCACCCTCCTTTGCTTTTTCTTGTGCTAAATAATAAGCACGATCTTCAATTTGTCAAAATTCTGGTTCTCAAACTTCTCACAACACAAAATGGTTAACCAGCACTGGCAGCAACCACCGATTCTTCTCCTTTCTCCGTCTTTCCATCTGGTGCTATAGCGCCACTAAATTCAAGCTGCTATAAAAACGTGAAAGGCGCCCTCTAGAGCCAGCGTTTGGTTTGCCCATTCTGGGCTATGGTAGAAACATGGCAGCACAACATAGCAGCCTCAGTTGGAAGAGGACCCACTCCCTATGTAGATATGAAGGGCCAATTCTAAGCTAACAAAAACAGTGATTTGTAGTTTCGGGTGATTATACATGACTGAAAACATGGTTTGTATACTATATTCCATTTCTGCTGAATAGATTCTCCCAAATCTTACACACTGCACCTTTAATGTATTTAAAAACTCAAAAATAAAAAGTATTATATGTAATGATTTGGCCTGAGACATTGTTTTATGATAGTTTTGAGAAATTTTTGGCCTACACATTTTTTTTTACTCATGGAGGAGAGATATATGCAGGGCATTGTAAGATAAATAGTCCCCAAAGAAAACTTTTTTTTTCATATTTACAGCTATTTTACCATCATTTACATATAAAATCATGTTACATATAAAAACTCAGAAGACGTGTAGGTTCACATTTGGATTTGAATAGTAAATAAAATGGCTATATCTGTGCTGTAGTCATGGCGAGCTCTGGTTCCTATCACCACCACTGTAAAGAAAATCTGAGTCTGTAAGTCTATCTACAATTAATCATTTCACGCCAAACCACTCTGAATGACTTTGTTTACATCTCTACCATTGAATTATATAGATTTAAAACAAGGAAATCCATGCAATATCCTTTAGTGCTTTCCGTGAAACTCACGGGCAAAGACAGAAACTGGTAGACGTGATGGAGCCCTGTGGCTGAGCGTCCCAGACTGGAGAGATGATTAGCCACTTCCTCTTCGGTCAGTTTGCCATCCTTCTATATTCCGAAAAAGAACATACTCATTTTAAATAATAAACTAATAAAGGGGAATTCCACCACTTTTTCCAAATTTCTAATTTCTTAATGATCCATAATTCAGTCATTAAGATGTAAATGAAGTCAGAGTGTTTTAATGTGAAATGCATCACTCTAAAAGACCCTACAGAGTCAGATTTTCTCAGAACGGTGATGATGGGAACCAAACGTCCGAAGCATTCAGCACATCTAAAAGCTACATCACTGACAGTTATTACATGATATGGTTACTGATATGCTGTGTGATGCCTGGGACATTGTTTTACTGTAGTTCTGCTAAAAGATTTGGCCTAAAAACACGATTTTTAATATCCATTAATGGTGGAGAGGGTGTTGTGAGCCAAACAGTCCCTGAAAAACTACACTGGTGGTTTTGGATAATAAATTAAATGGCTATACTTGTGTTGTAGAGACTGTGACCCCTGGTTCCTATCGCCACCACTGTAAATGAAATCTGTCTCCAGAACGGAGTATTTGACATCAAACCACTCTGAATAACTTTGCTGACATCTTAACCACTGAGTTAGGCAGGAAATTCGAAAAATCGGTGGAGTTCCCCTTTAGGTTAGCCTCTATAGCATAGACAGTAGGCTGGCTGTAGCGAATAAAGGGTGGAAAATGTGACAGGAAGAAGTTTTCCTGTAAACAAACTTCAGCGCGCTAGTTATCTAAGTCTTACCTCCATTTCTGTCTGCTGGCCTTCCTCCTCCTCCGTGGCGGTGAGCTCTTCTCCCTCAGGCGGCGGACTCCGGGTCAGCAGTGTTGTGTTTGGGTCGCCCTGGCTCCGCGGCCCGGAGGGATTTCTCAGAGTTTGGCAGCTGGAGAGAGCGGCTGTCGGCGCCTGCTGAACGGAAACTGACATCTTGCTTGTCTGAGTTTATTTGTGCAAATATGAAATGTTCGCCATTCAAAAGTGCCTATTTCTGTCCTACGCGGCTAATGCTAACCGAGAGACAGCTCGCTGCGTGCCCGTTGCCTGGCAACCGTCCCCTGAGAGGGCCGGGCACGTGCAGCGCCTCTACTGCAGGCCTACATGTACGTTAAAGGGGAACTCCGCCGCTTTTTCAAAATTTTTCCATAGTTCAGTGGTCGAGAGTCATTCAGAGTGGCTTGAATGTGAAATGGTTCATTATAGAGATGTCTTTACAGTGGTGCTGATAGGAACCAGGCGTCGCCATGACTACAACACAAATACACTATATTGCCAAAGGTATTCACTCACCCATCCAAATCAGTGAATTCAGGTGTTCCAATCACTTCCATGGCCACAGGTGTATAAAACCAAGCACGTAGGCCTGCAGACTGCTTCTACAAACATTAGTGAAAGAATGGGTCACTCTCAGGAGCTCAGTGAACTCCAGCGTGGTACCGTGATAGGATGCCACCTGTGCAATAAGTCCAGTCGTGAAATTTCCTCACTACTAAATATTCCACAGTCAACTGTCAGTGGTGTTATAACAAAGTGGAAGCGATTGGGAACGACAGCAAGGTAAAATGACAGAGCGGGGTCAGCGGATGCTGAGGCACATAGTGTGCAGAGGTTGCCAACTTTCTGCAGAGTCACAGACGTCCAAACTTCATGTGGCCTTCAGATTAGCTCAAGAACAGTGTAGAGAGCTTCATGGAATGGGTTTCCATGGCAGAGCAGCTGCATCCAAGCCTTACATCACCAAGCGCAATGCAAAGCGTCGAATGCAGTGGTGTAAAGCGCCGCCACTGGACTCTAGAGCAGTGGAGACGTGTTCTCTGGAGTGACCAATCACTCTTCTCCGTCTGGCAATCCGATGGACGAGTCTGGGTTTGGTGGTTTCCAGGAGAACGGTACTTGTCTGACTGCATTGTACCAAGTGTAAAGTTTGGGGGGGTTATGGTGTGGGGGTGTTTTTCAGGAGTTGGGCTCGGCCCCTTAGTTCCAGTGAAATGAGCTCTTAAAGCTTCAGCAAGAGATTTTGGACAATTTCATGCTCCCAACTTTGTGGGAACAGTTTGGGGACGGCCCCTTCCTGTTCCAACATGACTGCGCACCAGTGCACAAAGCAAGGTCCATAAAGACATGGATGAGCGAGTTTGGTGTGGAAGAACTTGACTGGCCTGCACAGAGTCCTGACCTCAACCCAATAGAACACCTTTGGGATGAATTAGAGCGGAGATTGTGAGCCAGGCCTTCTCGTCCAACATCAGTGTCTGACCTCACAAATGCGCTTCTGGCAGAATGGTCAAAAATTCCCATAAACACTCCTAAACCTTGTGGAAAGCCTTCCCAGAAGAGTTGAAGCTGTTATAGCTGCAAAGTGTGGGCCGACATCATATTAAACCCTATGGATTAAGAATGGGATGTCACTCAAGTTCATATGCGTGTGAAGGCAGACGAGCGAATACTTTTGGCAATATAGTGTATATACATTTTATTTACTACTGTCTTTTGAGTTTTTATATGTAATGTTGATGACGATAAAATAGTAGTTAATTTAAAAAAAATAAGTATTTCTAAGGTGACTAACTTACTTTGCCTCAAAACGCCCTCACCGCCATGAATGTTGAAAGACCAGCAGACAGAAATGGAGGCAGGAGTTAAATAACTAGCGTGTTAAAGTTTGTTTACAGGAAAACTTGCCACATTTTCCACCTTTTTATTCACTACAATCTGCTGTATAGTTACTATGTCAGAAAACATTCTCAGTGAAGTAGAACAGCAGCTCGGCACCAGCCTACTGTCTATGCTAGCTATAGAGGCAAACTTAAAGGGGAACTCCACCGGTATTCCAAAATTTCTGCCTAACTCGATGTAAAGAAAAGTCATTCAGAGTGGTTTGATCTGAAATGCTCTGTTCTGGAGAAACTCATGACTCAGATTTCTTTACAGTGGTGGTGATAGGAACCAGGGGGTCACAGTTTTTACAACACAAATATAGGTAGCGCTGTTGTTGGAAGAAAACCTCGTATCTCCAAAATGGTAACTTTACAGGAGGAGGAAAAAACATACTTCACTTTCAATGTAAGTCAATGGAACCAGAGTTTTTTCCAAGCAATTTTGGGCTGTTTCTTCTGGTACATTCTTCCTGAAGTTTAAACACAATGTAAAGAGTAACAGGCATTTTCAAATTATGCTAAAAACTGAAAAAATGAACAAAACAAAAATGGAGATATGAGGTTTTCTTCCGACAACAGCGATCGGCTTTTTATTTACTATCCAAAACCACCAGTGAACCTACACGAGCTTGGATATTTACAAGGATCATGTTATGATCTATTTAAACCAAATGCATTAATAGAGGTAGTAATAAACTAAATACATACAAAATCATCATTTATAGGGTACTTTCTATTGGGAGATGTCTGTCGCAAACCGTAACCACTACATTTACACTAAATAATAAATAACCCTAAATAATAGTTACTTTTTTGGTATTTTTGTTCACTGTTGTTTTTTAAAACATCTCGATATCTTTTAAAGTGAAATCGAAAGTTTTAGATTTATCTAGAGTTTAATTTTTAAACAACAACAAAAAAAGCGAAAATTGCTGTCCCACGTTTTTATGTCACTATGGAAACAGAGAGTTTTAGTATGTGGGCGGAGCCCCTGCATTTTAGAGCAGGAAGTGAGGCTGCATCCCTGTCCCTCATGGCCACATGGTGAGCAGTTAGATCCCATTGTTTTCAAGTAAATGTGTCCGAAGTCTAAAATCAGTGTAAGAATTGTCACTACTGAAACACAAATTCTCTGCAGTTCAGTACTTTTTGTGTTTTAACTGAAGTTTCAGTGATGTAATGGATTTGGTAGTGACAAAATCGAATTTTCAATCATTAGTTTTAATAAAATAAACATAATTAAGGTGTGGAGTCACTCAAAGCAAAAGGATTTTAGTCCAAAGTCGAAGATCAGTTAAAAGTCCAAAATGTGTTTTCAGCTCTGACTTTGAACCAGTTCAGCAGAATCATCCTTATACAGTGCTCAAAAGTCTTGGGACACTCTCTGAATACCATTTATATCTTGTCTATTTATTACTTTCCAAGATGAATGTGTCATTTAATCATTTATATCCATCAGAAAAGTTATTACAGCCATGTTAACTAACTGAAACTCAAAATCATCTCAGTAATTAGCTGAAAACTTGAGTAAGGCAAGTAGAAGTACTTAAAGAACAGGACAAACATTAGTGACTCTTTTCTTTACGTAGGTCAGTGTTTATTATTTTATTTAGTTGAGCGTTTTGTTGCGCATCCCTTCTTTTGGAGGTTTTGCTATGAGTAGTAATGTAATTCATGGTGTTCAATTACATCATTAAGAAGGTCACGTCTCCATATAGGTAGGTGAGCTGTAACTCTGTGCTCTGATAGAGTTCGTCTCATCACCTTTACTACAGCCCTGCAGGTGGATAAAAACTAAGCGAAACAGACCAGAATGACCTCAAAAAAGATGAAAAGATATGTGGATGCTTTAGATACAGCCTCCAGAACATGCTGTGAGAAGATTTGCTAGATTGGTGGAGTTCAGAACATTCCAGTGTGTTATATTTTATAAAAAATAATAAAAGTGGCTACTTATAGACTTATATATCAAGCTCAAGTCAGCTTCTTATTCACCAGCTTCTCATCAGAGTTTTCAGTTCCACCTTAAATGGTGCTGCAGTTACACTGAGGCGCCTTAAACGTAAAGCGAATTTCAAAAGTTGGTGAATACGAAGCTAACAACAGCTGACCTCAACAAATGCATCCTTAATCAACATTTACCTCAAACTTTCGCTTGGAGATGTTGAATGAGCAGCTAACGTGCAGCACTGGCTTATTTAATGTCACGTAAATCTCAGCTGTTTAGATTTTGGTTTCTTTGGTCATCAGTACAGCAACAAATCAAATGAAATCAAGTCAGTACACTCAAATAGCCTACAGTGATTAATATGCTTTAAAATGAGATTTAAAAAGGGGTTAAAAAAAATGTGTTTTACCGCCTTTGCTGGATCAGTTATGGCTTTGTTATCTCCTTTAAAACCGCCACTGCACTGCTTGAATGAACTTGAAGTTGCCTACCAAGATGGCGGCAGTCCGACTGTGGTGTCATCGGAATACTATCAATACATATAATGTATTAAATAATCATAATAAAAAAACACTTATCTATATAACTGTAATCCGTTACAGTTACAGTAAATTTTATATTGTAAAAATGAGGTGATTACTAGCAGGATTACATTCAAGCCACATACAGGCAGACTCGCCATGTTTTGTCTAACTTAGTGATTTTTGATTATAAATATGTCCTGTGAATCGGGTAGATTTGAAGTTTTTAAACTTGGGGAGGAGGAGAGGAGGAGAGGAGGAGGAGGCCTCTAATGCCAGGAGAGATTTCTGAATCCCTCTTACAGCAGCAGTTCATGGTCTTTCATTCAGCCAGTCAACAGAACTTTTAGTAAGCATTTTATCTGCAGCGTTTTCCTGAAGATACTCGAACCAGGCATCTAACTAAAAAACTGTTTTTACTCAAATATGATTTCTGCCTGATTGATATTTTGGCAACAGATTTTAAACAAATAACATTTACATTTACATTTACAGCATTTAGCAGACACTCTTATCCAGAGCGACTTACAAAAAGTGCTTTGTCTATCCAGAGAAAGTATCTTTGCTAGATACCAATAGGTTAGAGAGAAAGCCAGTCCTGAGCTCAGATACTGCTAGAATCAGAAAGTCATTGACACCTAGTGAAAAAGGGACAGAGTTAAACACAGAACAGTGCAATACAATACAATACAATACAATACAATACAATACAATACAATACAATACATAAGTGCTGTACAATACTTTACAATCAATACTAAACTCAGTGCTCATTTAAGTGCCGTATAAAGAGACGGTCTTCAGTCTGCGTTTGAAGGCCGCGAGAGACTCTGCTGTTCGGACAGCCAGTGGGAGTTCGTTCCACCACCTGGACTCCAGGGCAGAGAAAAGTCTTGCTGCTTGTCTTCCACGCGCCTTGAAGTTTGGCGGGTCGAGCCGAGCTGTACTCGAAGCTCGAAGGGCTCAAGGTACAGTTCGAGTTTTGACCACTGCCATCAAGTATGGAGGGGCTGGTCCATTTTTGGCTTTGTAGGCATCAGGGTTTTAAATCTGATGCGTGCAGCTACAAGAAGCCAGTGAAGGGAGTGCAGCAGTGGGGTGACGTGGCTGAACTTTGTGAGACTGAAGACGAGCCGTGCTGCTGCATTCTGGATGAGTAAGGCAAATAAGGCAAAAGCACAAATAAGGCAAAATCACAGGAGAACAGAACAGTTCTGAATTATATTTCATTTGCATGTTGAACTGAATGAACTGGATGATTCTCCAGTGGTCACTTGTTTCCCTGTGCTCCCTTTTAGTCTTCCTTCATGTTCCTGTCACTGTTTTTTGCTGGGGAGCTGAGCCTTGATTTCTGAACCTTGTCATCTTGTTCACTGCTCACAAGTGTACATGTACAAAACTGTTGTTTTAATCTTTGAAATATTTCCATGTATTTCTCCACTTAGATTTGGCCATCTAGCTAAATGGGAGATCAGTGACCGTATGTGTGAAGCACAGCATTTAAGTCACCTATAGTCTATCATTCTGTGTCAGGGCATGTTTTTGTTCAGTTTGCTTGTGTTAAGTTAAAATCCTGGTGAAATTATTTTTATTGACTTTTATCTCAGTGTTACTTTAATATAGTAATCCTTTGGATTATGTTACACTTACATATTTAACCGGTAGTCAGTAATCTGTACGTGTTTTAAAGTCACCCTCCCATCTCTTTTTGCAACTGATGCTCAGCCAGGCCTGGACCTCAACACCTCTTTCTCAGACATTTTATTGCAAAGTCAGAGATTGTCACATTAATTCAACTTAATATTCAAGTTTCCAAACTTTCTGTCTGTCAGAATAGTAATGAAATTTAGAGTCAGGTCTGTTGGTCTGTATCTCTGGTTTGAATGAGTGTGCATTTGGATTAGTTTCCCAACATTTGTTTTGAAGTAAAACGGGGGTTATGGCTACCTTGCTATTGCTCAGTTGGACTCAAAGTATTGATAGGTTGTAGCTGAAATCATGCACTTTTGAATATGGTAAAGCATGATTTCCACAGTACGTTAAAAAATGTAATAATTCTAAAAAACAAATGATGATATAAGTGACCCCACACTACTTTTAGAGCTCTGTATGTGATACAGGGACATGATCATTCACATTAAGCCCCACTATCATTAGTCTTTGACGCTAATTATAGAGCAACTTTGACTTCTAATATCGTCTATGTCCAAAGAAAACCATGTATCTCCATTTTTATCAATTTTTATTTTTCTATATCATTTTAACACACCAGCTTTCCTGTACATTGTGTGAAAATTTTATGATGAATGGACCAATAGAAATGCTCTAAAATCACTTGGAATTAAACCTCTTTACATTAACTTACATTAAAAGATAAGACTGTTTTTGCTCTCTCCTGTAAAGTTACTATTTTGGAGATACTTGATGCTCATCTCACCTCTTTGCATCATCTGACGTCCTCCTCAGATCCCTTGATAGGACATAAAACACAATGTGTCTAACCTCTGAGAGCAAACAGAACCAAACTGAAACACGGAGCCTGGTTTAACGTTGTTTATTTAAGTTTCATCATTACTGTACATTGGCAGAATTTAAACAGTGGACGTCTGCTCACAACATCAGAAGGAGCTTCGAGAAAGGTCACTAGGCCATTCAGACTTCAACGGCCGTTTAATGGTTTCCCTCCTAAATTGGGGCATCAAAGACAAAAACAACTCTGAGAGTACGAGTGCAGTGTCGGCCACCATTCAAATGTGCTGTGTTTTCTTTTAATTCCCTCCTTAACACAGTCTGAGACGGAGCTTCCACGCTGTGAATGTTTTCAACACAGCACTATGCAAATGTTCTACTGCTCCCTGACAGTGGATTCACACTGGATCTTTTCCAATACACGGTTCCAGGCGCAGTTTGAACCCATCTTCATTAAAAACCAAGATGTTCCAGTCCAGCTGTGAGCAAAGTTTGCATTTGCAGCACCTTAAAATTATATTTGCTTTTGTTAAGAGACACAAACTCAGAGTCTATTAGAAATACAGGCACCCGAGAATACAGCTACACACTCAGGTCAAAAGAAATAAAGAAGTCATGGAATACAGTGATAATCATATATAGTTCTGTGCAACCCGTGTAAAGCATAAGTATAATGCACACAATAAAAAAACAAATATGTAAAAAACAAAAGTGTAAAAATTGTGTATTGGGCCAATATAGAAACACTATGATGTTTTTTTAGTGGGTATAGTTACATTTCGTCGCTGTCCAAAGAAAAACAAGCATCTCCAAAATAGAAGCTTTACAGGAGAGGCAAAAACACTTACCTTTTAATGTACACCGATCAGGCATAACATTATGACCACCTCCTTGTTTCTACGCTCACTGTCCATTTTATCAGCTCCACTTACTATATAGGTGCACTTTGTAGTTCTGCAGTTACAGACTGTAGTCCATCTGTTTCTCTGCATACTTTGTTAGCCCCCTTTTACCCTGTTCTTCAGTGGTCAGGACCCCCATGGACCCTCACAGAGGTGGTGAATCATTCTCAGCACTGCAGTAACACTGACGTGGTGGTGGTGTGTGTTGTGCTGGTACGAGTGGATCAGACACAGCAGTGCTGCTGGAGTTTTTAAACACTGTGTCCACTCACTGTCCACTCTATTAGACACTCCTACCTTGTCAGTCCGCCTTGTAGATGTAAAGTCAGAGACGATAGCTCATCTGCTGCTGCACAGTTTGTGTTGGTCGTCCTCTAGTCCTTCATCAGTGGTCACAGGACGCTGCCCACAGGATGCTGTTGGCTGGATATTTTTGGTTGGTGGACTATTCTCAGTCCAGCAGTGACACTGAGGTGTTTAAAAACTCCAGCAGCACTGCTGTGTCTGATACACTCAGACCAGCACAACACACACTAACACACCACCACCACGTCAGCGTTACTGCAGTGCTGAGAATGACCCACCACCCAAATAGTACCTGCTCTGTGAGGGTCAGTGGGGGTCCTGACCACTGAAGAACAGGGTAAAAGGGGGCTAACAAAGTATCAGAGAAACAGATGGACTACAGTCTGTAACTGTAGAACTACAAAGTGCACCTATATAGTAAGTGGAGCTGATAAAATGGACAATGAGTGTAGAAACAAGGAGGTGGTCAGAATGTTATGGCTGATCGGTTTAAGTTAATGTGAAGAGATTTTATTCCAAGTGATTTTAGAGCTTTTCTATTGGTCCATTCATTATAAAGTTTTCACACAACGTAAAGGACAGCTGGTGTGTTGAAATGATATAGAAAAATAAAAATCGACAAAAATGGAGATACATGATTTTCTTTGGACAGTGACGATATGCACCTCTGGCGTTCTTCCCTTTTTTTTTTATCACTGATGAAATAAACCTAAAGGCATGATGTTTAGGTCAAACGCATCTGGCTTAACAAGTGCTCAGGCAGGCACGCAGACAGTTTAGGAGAGACCCCATGTCCGCAGCCGTCACAGGCCGTGCGTTCTGCGACATTTCTGCAACGTTCGCACAACCTCTTCACTCCGCACACACAACCTCTTCACTCCGCACACACGAGATTCAAATTAGGCTGGAATATTAAAGATGTTTCTCTGCGTTAATACCTTCGGCGGCCCGGAGGCCGATATTGATTCCTGACGCCGAGTCACAATGATGGATTGTTGTGCCGGCTTCGGGGAGCGCTGTTGCCTGGCGCCTGCGTTGTGTATCGACAGGGCTTTCTCTCTCCCTCTCTTGTTAAGTACTTTTCTTCAGAGTTAATGAACTAAAAACACCAAGGGACAGAGAGAATGAATGATTTGTGGTTTTGTGTGTGAGTGAGTGAATAAGAGACAGATTTGCCGCCTTCAGCACGGGGGACTTAAGAAAAAGAGCCGAAATAAAGTTTTAATAGCTGCAGTCGGAGGCCGGAGATCACTTCCCCACCGATAAGACCTCGAATCTCAGCTCCTATTGTTTATGCGCGGGCCTACAGACGCTGCGGAGTGTGTTAAGGTGTACAGGATCAATCCTCACCTCTGCTGTAAGGCCGACCGCAGTATACCGCAACCAGGGACGCTGAGAAGAGGGAAAGGGATAAAAAAAAAAAAACGTGGCCATTTCCCATTTCCTTTCCTGAGGGAGCAAAACAAATCAACAAAAGCAGAAGGAGTCCGTTCTATTGGGCTGATAATAATTCCAGCGTTCTAATCTGGCATCTGTTATTCCGGGCACAAGCTGTGGGCTGGGACATTCCATAATTGAGAGCACGGTTTTATATTACAGGAAAATGAGATGACAGCGTCCCTGAGCCACGCGCCTAGAATCCATCTGCTTATTCCGCAAGGTGAGGCCGGGGCTCGCTCGAAGGATTATTTCATTAAAGAGTTGCTCCTGCGTTTGTGGTTAAGTAGAGATATATGTAGAAAGCATGTATGCAAAGCTGAAATGCTCTCTTTTAGTAGTGTCGCCCACAAAAACGTCCCTCAGTGAACCTTCACCTTCATGTAAATTGTAAAGTTGAAAAAAATAATAATAAACAACAGGGAAGCAAATTAGCAATTCAAATGCACAAAGCTTAAATCGGCAAGGCGCATCATCCGCCAAGGTAATAAAACATTGAAATATTGACTGGACTGTGCAAGACACCACTGTGGACTGACCGCGCTGGCCATCGGTGGTCGAGCTCCTGCATTGGAAGGCCTTCGTCCAGCACAGTGTGGTGATTTCCTGCTCAAAAACTTCGGACAAAACTCAGTGGTTACAGTCATATGCAAAGGTTTGGTCACTCCTGGTCAAATATGTTTGTTTATTGATTTTCTGAGTGACAATGACTACAAATCCTCCTCAGGGAGAACCTTTAAAGGTCCAGCGAGGGAACGACACAATTTGAAACGTTAACAGTGTTTGCACACTACATCAAACTATCGGTAACACTTCAAGGTAAGGTGCTGTTCATAAGGCTACATAATACCTACACAAACTTGCCATGACAACTGACATAACCCTACAAAAATGTTTATTAATGCTTATTCCAACTGACGTCAACAGCTTTGGCTTTGATCAAAAGTGGCAAATATAACCTTTATAGTGAATGACACCTGTTGGATTAAGCATTTATAAACATTTATAAAGGGTTATGTCAGTTGTCATAACAAGTTTGTGTGGGTGTTATGTAGCCTTATGAACACTGCCCTACAGTAAAGTGTTACCAAATTATCTTATTTGAAACAAAATGAGGAAAATGTCGATTTCCATGATCTGCAGATTTTAGATCATTCCTCTGCAGATTTTAGTGCACAATTTTGATTTATTCAATTTATTTCACTTTCACACCAGAGATGTTCCAACCTTTGCAACTGACTTTAGTTAGCAGGCATGTTTAAGCAGAAAAATCATCAAACTGTGCTGGACTTCAGCCTTCCAGGACCAGAACTGGACAGCTTTAGTGTATAGTGTCTTTGTTTAGGTGACGGGGGTCTATACAGTGGTGATCTTCTTGTCCTTGGTGGCCTGTTTGATGGCTGCCTGCTCGCAGATGATCTCTTTGAGGCGCTGTAAACGCATGTTCTGCACTGTCAGGTCTCCGACGCCCGTTTGGCTGCGGTGCAGCAGGCTGAGAGCGTTGATGTACTCCAGCTCTGTGTATCGCACGCCCTGATCCACCACCAGGTTCAGCAGCTCATCAGCCGTGTTATACAGCATCTCATAGTACTGCCTAGAGAGAGAGAGAGAAAGAGAGAGAGAGAAAGAGAGAGAGAGTCCATAGTGTCATACAGCTGGTCACATTTTTACAATTTATCCTTAAATCTGGAATACAAATATGTATTTTGTTTATATTCGACTAAATATGTACATCTGACTGGGAGCTCTGCTTCACCCACAAGATCATAAGACACTGGCTGATTACCCAACATAGGGTATTTAGAATTATTCAAACAAAAGAACCATTCAAACAAAAACCTGACACAGCAAGGACGCTGCAGACTGAGCAGCATGGCTGTAATTTAGCTACAACGAACTTAGACAATATTCTACATTACACCAATAAATAAATCTGCCTTCGCTGATGTGAAAGTTTACTGTATTGTCGCTCTCCAAAATGGTAAGTTTACAGGAGAGGCCAAAAATGTTCTTTACTTTCACTGTAAGTTGCTGTAAAGTGATTCTATTCCAAGCAATTCTGGAGCATTTTTACTGATCCATTTACCATGAAATTGTCACACAATGTAAAGAGCAGCTGCCGGGCTCAACTGATGTAGGAAAGTAAAAATCTAAAAAAGTGGAGAACTGCTAATAAACACACACTGGCTAAGATGGGCTTAAATGGGTTTTTCCCTCCATTTTTTTTTAAATAGCCTCCTTTGGAGAAGACCACCTGGCTAGTGGCCCCCCAGGTTTGAGCCCCTTGGTTTCAATTGACAAAAGATTTCAAAACTTACCCCTGACCTGCTAAAGACCTTAAACTTCCAGGATTGTTTTTCACAAATTCAGTAAGAGTTTAACACTGAACTGAATGATAGTCTAACTACACTGATTTTAACTTCAACTGATTCAGCTGGGAGAACATCACAGTTATTTCTAAAGTAACAGAACTGAACGTGTTTAAAGGAGATAATACCAGGAACTTTCATACACACTTCACATATAGGCTTCTCTACTGTGAACTATGAACAAGCAGCAAACATTTCTGTTTGTTCTAGTTTTTGCGATTTGTGGCAAAAAGCACAGCTACCTCACGACAACTGTAAGGCCTTGGATACTCAGTGCTGCTCACTATATGCAACGCTAGATAATTTACTGGTTCCTCTTGACATGTTGGCTCCCAAACCAGAGTTTTATTTCTCCTAAAATAAACTATCCACAAAAATTGCCACTGATAATATTTGGAACATAAGGCTTTATGTTAACAACAACAGCAGGATGGCAGTTCTGGAAAAGTGGATAATTTTTCCCCTTAGTTGGGGGTGTCATCCTTTAGCCCCCCCCTTCCAAATAGAGCTCTGTTCTCATATATCAAAGCCGTATTTCATGTACTTTGCAGTTAGATGGCAGAAGTGCTGCATAACAGCGATTCAAGAACAAAATATGCGGCATTTTAGCCTCTCTCTCACTTACTCTCTCACTATGTTCAGATATTACCTCAGCTGCTAGGTACATGATGACACGTTTTAGATTATATTAGTCTTCCTTTAGCTTACTTGGATTCTTCCTGGGCAAAAAAGAAGAGTTATAATAGTATAATAGTGCTGTGCAAATGTCTTAGGTACCTAAGCACATTTTTAAAACATGTATCGTGACCATAAGGGTGTTTTCACTTGTAAAATTAGGAGAATTAGGCAACAAGAATGTACTTATTTTTTCTTATATCTTGTGAGCTATGGTCTGAAACCTAGTAAGGGAAGATAACTACATTGGGCTTCCTCAAGAAGGTCTGGAAATGGTTAAGGGAAGACACTGACGTACATAAAATCACCACATACTGTGTTAATATTGTTTGAATTTGTTGTAATATTTGTGTTTTTCTGAGCAAATAAACACTTTCTGGCTTACAACTTTTCTCAGGTGCCAAGACTTTTGCACAACATTGTACACCATAATAAATCCATAACATCTTAGTCTCAGAAGTCAGTGTAAACATTCGTGACATGCTTGTGCTCGTACATCACCAGAAACACAATTTTACGACTTCTATTTTTGCCACAGCAGAAGCACAATCGCAGCCGCTGCGATAAAGGCTCGGTATTAAGGATGTCCCGCGCCCCATCAGAGCGAACAGCGCCAACTCCTCATCTGAAGCCCCAGCTCCCTCCCCCCCCGCCTCATCCTCCATCTCCCTTTCTCTCTCTGGCCCAGAATGTTGCTGCTCCCTCTGAACTAGCAAAGCCCACAGAAAAGACCTGAGCCAGCAGGAATCTCTCGCTCTCTAACTCCTCTATCAGGCAGACACACTCTCCCAGGTATTCAGGCTTGTGACTGCACTCTCAATGAGGTGCAGAGTGCGTTTTAATGCAGCCTCTAGCTCCTGCTTCCCAATCTCCAGCTTTCTCCCTTATGATGTACCAAACTTGACCTTCAAAGTCGAGGCAGGAGGCTATCGCAAGAGTTTGCTCGGTGACAAAGCTGTGGAGATGCTCGCTAAGTAGGCCGGGGCTGCACAATATATCACCTGTTAGTTGTTATCGCAATACTGGGCTTTGCGAATACTGTTGGCTGTAACATGCACATAACACCTCTAACCAATCACAGTGTGATTTACTGATTAAACACTGAGAGCATCAGTTTTAGAAGAGTGTTTACTTTGATGATTCATGTAAACAAAAGTGAACTATTTTAATGCAGGCCAATATTAAGCAGTTACACAAGTACACAGTAGAGTTTGGGTTTTTGTGACGTTTTTCATTTGGTTCAATGGTTGAACTGCAACAAATTATACAATACGTTTTTGATTGGTCAGAAATTTGGTGGGGATACAAATGCTATGTTACTTTCACATTTGCCTCCATCAAATGACCAATTGCATATGATTTCACTAGCCTATCAGAATAAAATCCAGATCTATTTCTCACTTACATCACTGATAAATGGCTCAAAGATCAAATTTGGGGATTTGGAGACCTCTCTGGTGGAAATGTGTAATTGCACTCAATTGCAGAAGCATTTTGTAAGGCAGGTTGTGCTTTGGCCCCCTTCACACATTTAAAGAGAGCTCAGTCAATACTTGGTTAAGGACGCGTCTTCTGAGGATGTGTAATTATCTACTGCTGTCATCATATCTTCATCAGCATAGTGTTGAATTTGTATTTGAGAACTAAAATCGAGTTCGATTTTCGAGGGCGACTCACAGCAATGCACGCATTTGATTACTTCTCTATGACTGACTGGTTTAACTACACATTATTTTGAATTCATCCAAACAGCTCGCTGATGTCTGGCCCAATCAAAAATACTCTCTTTCCATGTGACAAAATCTAATGTTTTACTACTGTTTGTAATCTGTTATTAGCAGCAGCTCGATATGAGTATCTTTAAAGAGTCCAATGTAAAAACAGGCAGATTATGTGGAGAGTATAGCATGGTCTTGTGCTGAAAACCAAGCTCTGGCTCAAATCTCTCATTTGGTATGGACCAACATAAACATGCGTTCCCATCAAAAGCAAACTGAACCAGAATTCGCTTGGAACCATGGTCCAGTTCTGTGGTGCAGATCCGGGTATGGAGTGTTCACACCTGTCAAAATGGACTGAATAAAAAAAAAAAGGTTCAATTGGCACCTTTAATCCATGTCCCATTACTGAGTCATAAACGAGTTTTTAGGTGTACCACAGGTGCAATATGTAGCAATTGTCCAGCCCCATAGCTAAGACAAAGAAAATCACCACCTCAGAGTCTTGACTGATGTAAAGTATGCATAGATTATGCACTTCTGGGCAAAAGATCTGTAATGTGTGCTAGCTAACAATGCAAAAGTATTTTCTCTTCTGTTCCAAGGACATTACTCATCGCAGAGGGGGGGAAAGGGCTGTCTGTTGATTATTCATCTATTGTAATAGGGTCCGTGCATTGGGCCTACACAGCCTGTTGCAGGCCGCGCTGGATACTGAAGAAGAAATGAAAGGATCCTGAGGGCAACAGATTGCAGTAAATCATGTATGTTATTGTGGATTTTCAGAGAGAGCTCTGGTGGCTGCCTATTTTCTCTATTCAGAAATGTCCTTGGGTAAAAAGAATTAGCATAGTGCAAATCCCCTTCTTTCATAATAAATCCCTCTTTTGTTCACCCTGAATAGGGGTCACAGACTGAAGGGAGCGGTGCAAAAGACAGTAGAGGAGTTCTGGCCAGCCATGCCTTACTGCATTATGCTCTCAGGGCACTGTCGCTGACTGCATCTGCAAGACTAACAAGGTTAGGGTGTTGTACAAACTGGAAGGAGACACTAACTTTACTGTGGGGGGGAAACGCACATACACTCACACATTGCATATATATATACATATATATATATATATATATATACAAACACTGAAAACAAAAAATCTAAGGTTACATTCGAAATGCAGGTAAAAGTAGGCAAAGTGTTTTGTTTGTTTGTTTACATTAACTACATTTTAATGTGTTCTATGTCCAGCATCAGTCTTAACAGATTACACTCCTGAACTGACCTACACACATGAAAAGAATACCAGTTGACCTAAAGGGCAAACGATTTGGGCAGAATACCTAATTGCAATTTCTCCAACCATTATTAGTGACTGTGCATTGCTGTTGTTTTCTGATTCTTCTTCTTCTTCTAGACTGTTGTCCGCTAACTTGCCCCGCGGTGTTCCAGATATCCACACCATCCCAATTTCCGAATGTTGGGCCTGATCGGGAATGGTGTGCTTGAAGCATCAATGACTAAATAAACACCACGTACACTATGGCAACTGCCTAGCAACAATTTAGCAACCACCTGGGATACCATAGCAACCGCCTTGCAGCTCCACAGCAACCACCTGGGATACCATAAAAACTGCCTAGCAACACCACAGCAACCACCTGGGATACCATAACAACTGCCTTGCAACACCTTAGCAACTGCCTGGGATATCATAGCAATCAGCTAACAACACCTTAGCTATCACTTGTGATAACACAGCAACCACCTACCAACGTCTTAGCAACTACCTTGGATACCACAGCAACCTTCGAGCAACATCCTAGCAACCACCTGGGAT